TCGGTGACGACCAGCGAATCCCTGGTGTTGTATGTATCTTTTTGCCGATGACGCCAATTGAAAAAGAACATGCTGACGTTTGATACTTGAATTATTACTATAAGTCTATACGTATATGTCTAAAAAGGAACTCCCGCAAATCTCGGCTCCACCAAAATCACGCCAAAGTTGCACCACCAAGAACGGTATCCTCACTTCCCGATCGACTGCAACTGCTTCCTATACCAAGTCTGCAAACTATTAGCATCACTCTCTCAAACATAAAAGTATTACTCACAAGTTCAACTCCAGTTCCGATACTCTTCGGTCCAAATCTCTTCAAAAACCAGGGCGTTTGGATCTTCTTAGCATAAAGCTTAGCATCATCATCCGTAACCTCCTTGTTAAGAATAATAGTTGAAGGTAAGAGAGGGTTGATAATAGCAGGTCTGCCAAGGCCAATCAGATCGCAAGCGCCTTCGCGAAGGGCTGCTTCCATGCCTGCCCTCGTACGGAAACCGCCTGTTACCATTAGAGGAACGTTGGGAACCTTGGCGCGCATTTCGTGGGCGAAGGAGAGGAAGAAGGATTCTCGGGCTGCTGTGCTTGCGGCTTTCTTTTCGCCAGTTCCTGTGAACATCTATCACGAAATTTGTCAGTATGAGAATCAAGAGATAGGTGGGATCCTTACGGATGGGTTCTCGTAACTTCCACCACTGACTTCCAAAAAGTCAAGGCCAACCTCAGCAATAAGCGTAATCTGTTCGAGAACCTCTTCAAGCTCCTTAGGAGACTGGTGATCCGCAGAGTTGAACTTTAATCCAACGCAGAAACCCGCCGGTGTCGCAGCACGAATAGCCTTTGCGACGTCAACGATGATTTTCGCTCGTGCAGCAGGCGATCCTCCGTACTGGTCCGTTCGCTTGTTGCTCTTCTCTGACATGAACTGAGAGAGAAGATAACCATGCGCAGCGTGAATTTCAACACCGTCAAAGCCGGCTTGAGACGCGAGTCGAGCTGTCCTGGCGAAGCTCTGGACAACATCTTCAATCTCTTCGAGAGACATTTCCTTCGGTGTACCAAAAACAACGTTCGTAATAATCTTGGCAAGAAAATCATCGCCCATATTCAGCTGGATAGGGCTAGGAGCAAGATTCTTATCCATAAACGCCTTCTTGCCAGCTCCAAGAGGTGATTGTCGACCAGGATGGTTAATCTGCATAATCGCCGGTGTCCCCTTTCGTCGCATAATTCCCACAAACTTCTTATAAGCCTCCAGGACCTTTTCCTCGGAAAGATCAGAGCTAACAGCCAAATCACGATGTCCACCGAGATACTTCTCGTCAACTTGGACATTACCGGTCATGACCATTCCCCAACCTCCATCAGCCCAGGCGCCGTATGCATTTTCTAATGCTGTTGTTGTAGGAAGATGTTGACAATCTGCGATTTCTTCTGCCAGAGCCGCCTTTGCGAGACGATTGGGCAGGGTGAGACCGCATGGTAGCTTGAATGGTTGAGAGAGTAAGAAGTCTGTCATTTTTGATAGTTGATTTGTTGATTGGGGATTAACGTGATAGTAAGGGGGAGTTCCTTTGTATAGAAAATCTCGCCTTGAACCGGACCCTGAACCGGGGCCCGTGTCCGTAGACTATGGCCCAAAGGAGAAATAACTCCAGTGGACTCGGCCTGTTGTTGGTCCGCTAAGGAACAGAGTTCATCCGATCGAATGTTCTGGGGCGAATTGATGCCATTTAGTAAACATTCTGCGGAAGAATTACTATTGAAAATCTCTGTGGGTAGGAGCTTTACTTATTGTTTTCCGACGGAGGAGCGGACGGATTTGCTGACGTTGGCTGTACCTGCATGTAATTAATTGACTCCGTGAGACGCCCCACTTATTCCCTTGCTCAATCGCTGTCTTTGTAAGTGAGGTTGCCCACATCTTGCCTTTTATGGCTGGGCGATACTAATATCTGTGATTCTTCCCTTTGAGAAATCTTTGATATATTGGAAGACGTTTTCCATGGGTGTTACATAGGTATTGATTTGTCTAAAGATGAAGGAGATGGTCGTGTTGATGGATAATTGACGACGGCAGGACTGATGAGGGCAAGGAAGAGCAAAAACAGCTGTATGTGTTTATTGGAAAGTTAAATCAAAGCTTGATGACTTGCCTACAGATTACTCAAATTTCCCTCACGACTGACAACTGTCGCACGGAACGTTGTCCCATGGCAAAGCCAGAATATTTAGAGAAAACTATTGTCCACCGACGGTTCAAATATAGGTAGTATATTTCAGCTCTAGGACCGTTATTTCAGTAGTATCTCGAACTCTGGTACCGTCCATACCCATTTATCCCACTCACCTTGCCAATGTAGACATGAATTGGTTGTCTAAACTGTGTTTGACATAGACTGCGGCACAGCGAGTGAGGAGTCAAATCTCTATGTCATACCTCTTCCTAGCGGCACACTTCTTCACTACATTGGTGGAACAGCTGCAGTTTACGTTTCAGTTAATGTGACGGGTGATCTCGACTTTAGTAGCTGATTGGCATGCCGAGATGTAGCGCAGAAAGCATAGTACATGTAGGATTGAGCTTAAATACGGATGGTAAGACGGGTTTATGCCGGGATCTACATATCGGTGATGTTCGGTATTTGGAACAGGCTTCCCCAGATTCTGAAGTATTTGTCACTGGCTGACCAAGATAGCCAAGAAATTCATTGTAACCTTCGATTTTTAGTGTTGATGGCAATGATTATGGTTGCCGGTGAAGATGGTACTAGTACATCTAATCTCCCTCCGCCGTAAATCGAGCCGGAATGAGGCTATCGCCGAGCAGCGAGCGCCATCGTGTCATATGCAAAATATCAATAATCTACCGGCAATCTCACCCGGTCCCTCCCATCCCTGTAGTGTACCTGACAGCCGGTACCATTTCATCCATCGCATGATCTGGACATCAACAGCGCAGGATCTCAGACAGATGTCTCAGAAGTGGGTGTGCACGGGGAGTTCGGACCCCGCCGTTGTGATATACCCGGATCAAAGGACAAAGGCACATGGTGTTTGTTTGTTTGGTTAATCAATAATTGGCGTTTTCTTGGCTCTTGGCCTGGAGATATAAAGAACGTGTGTCTCCCCGCTTTTTAGGATTCGGCTCTTCTTTTTGTATGCAAGATCGAGTCTTGGCTCTTTTTTCAATAGCCTTTTTTCAACATGAAGCTTTCATCCTTTGAACCCAAAATGCCTGCGCTTGATACTTCTATCACTACTCCCGTTCGTCGACCATCTATTGCTTCTGAGTTTGAAGCTGCGAATCAGAAATTTGCTGCAAGTTTTAACCAGTCGCATCTACCCTCTCCACCTCGTCGGTAAGTTGGCGCCAGCTTCAATACATAGGTAGATCTCCCAGCCAGAATGTGCCTAACATTAACCAGAAAAGTCGCTGTTGTAGCGTGCATGGATAGTAGATTGGATGTCGAGAAAGTGCTGGGTTTAGATCTTGGTGATGCGCACGTCATCAGAAACGGTAATTCATCCAATTTCTTGGTGTTGATTGTTTTGCTGACGGTTTCAAGCTGGTGGTCGCGCAGTAGAAGCACTCCGATCAATCTTGATTTCTCAGCAGATGCTCGGCACGCGTGAGATAATCATCATGCACCATGTAAGATACACTCCCTTCTAGAAAAAGAGTGGTCTCAATTATTGGACCAATATTCCCACCCAACCGGCCCGGCTGACACCACCCATAGACCGGCTGCGGCATGCAAACATTCTCCGACACAGACTTTCGCGCTAAAATCCGGAATGAATTGCACGAAGATGTAGATCATATGGCTTTTCTACCTTTTTCTGATTTGAGACAGAGTGTTATTGATGATGTTGCCTTTTTGAGGAAGAGTCCTTTAGTTTTAGATGTGCCGATTACGGGGTATGTGTATGATGTCAAGACGGGACGGATTGAGCTTATTGATGAGCGAGCTGAGAGCGAGTGTTCGAGCCCATAAGACGAACTTTGGACTTAGGAATTGTGTTGGCGTTGGTGTTGAGGGATATTTGGTTTGTGGTACGGGAGTCAGGAGCGAGCGATTTTGATTTCTTGGGATGGAACATATGAGACAGTAAATGCAAATAACGGCCGATATATCTTATCATTTCGATATCTTCCAGTAGCACAGATTCGATAGTGACCTCCATGCCAGGACTCCAGACCTGCAGGCATGCCGCCTCCAGGACCAATTGGTCCGGCATGTAAGACACCGGCAGTAATAGCCGCTTACTGTGATCCTGCTCATGCAACACCTGGAAAGATAAATACCTTGTCCTCGGCGTATGTAAGTCCATATAGCTCCGTCCTTCCCGGAAAGTAAATCTGACAAATCTTGACACTACTGGTCGATCAGCCTTATGGTGATCAACCGTTGGAAGTATGAAAACTGGAGCCCGCCGGGCGTTACCAAAGTGGTATCTTCCCCTAGGCTTGACTTTTCGCGGATATAGAAAAATGAGGGATTGAAAGTTCCACAATGTCTCATGGACACTCTATTACTCATGAAGGGATTACTACGAAAGTCCACATATCTGTCACTATGAAATCTCAAGCTCATCATTTGGTGTGCCAATGTTAGTGGTCTTCCATAATAGGACTAGCCGGATCTGTCTTACGTACGATCCGCGTTAGTAACAAAGCGGGTTTGCTCGCCATGACCATTTTTATGATGAAATTATGAGTAAAAGTAACACTTTCACTGGTTAGAATACTCCTGAAGAGATGAATTGATTCAATGAATGAATGGGTCAAGGTGAGGGGAGAATGTCTTGGTGTGGTAAGCTCACCGAGATATATCAACCCAGCTCCCTTTCGTCCGAAGACAGACCAACATATACAGCATCTATCGATATTTAAAATGCCTTCAAGAATACCGGAAGGGTCCGACAGCCTGGTTGGCTCAGCCAATATCATCTCAAGATTCCTAGCACTGGAGCAAATCTACAGCGCCAAAGACCTCGACACATACCTCCAAACTCTCAAACAAGAAAGCACAGATACATCGACGGATGTGATCGTCTTGTGTGCCTCGGCAATCTTGGCGATCCCTGAAGCTGTATTCGAATGGACGGTCCAACAGAAAGACTACAGAAAAAACACTGTCTTGGTCCTCTGTGGTGGGATTGGACCTTGCACACCTTTTGTTTATGACGCTATTCAAGCTAGCAAGAAGTATGCGCCGATCTTTGATGAGATCGATGGAAAGCCGGAAGGGCAGGTGTTGGGTATTATGGCCGAACGGCTTTACCGGTTGAAGATCAGCGAAACACTAAAAGATGATGGTGGTTTCGATATCTTGGTCGTGGACCGTTCAACAAACTGTGGAGCTGATGCACAAGAAACTCGGAAGGTCTTGGACGCCTACAATATTCGAGCGCCGAAATCTATCACCGTGGTACAAGATCCTGCTATGAGCAGTCGGACTGTGTCATCCTTTGAAAAGGTTTACAACGACCAGGAGGCGCAGATTTCAAGTTGGCCGCAAAGGGGATCAGACCAAACAACAAACCGAGTTGGCGATGATAATTCCGGACAACTTTGGTCTATGAATCGCTTCCTAGACAGGATCATGGGCGATACTACACATGCGCAACGGGGAACTAATAAGGGTACGGGGAATAACTTTGATATTCCAAATGAGGTGGAGAATGCTTGGTCTACTATTTTGGGAGAAGACAAGATGAAGATGTCGAGCTAAGACTTATAATATCAATCTTCCTACCCGATGCATATTCCTCGACATAGATCAGACTTTAAAAAATGCAACTATGCTGAGAAAATCATTGACTATGAATGTCCTGAGCGAGAACGTTCCTAACACAGACTAAAATTGTGCCGATGAAGAGCACGATCTTGGAACATGCTTGGTTATAACTTCAAATGGCAGACTTTCACTGCAATTTTAACCCTCGCCCAGCCTTCTTGTACTGTAAATGTAACTCGTCTGGTAACTTCTAATTGGATTAGTTAACTGAGCGTCTTTCACTGCAATTTTGACCCACCCCTGGCTCTCTTCCACTGCAATTTCAAATCGCCCAGTAACTTCCAATTGTTTAAAGATTGCGTCTTTATATATCCATTTTTTATTCCAATAATATTCGTTCAGGTGGTTATACGGAATTGATGAATAATATAGACTCCCAGCGGCATCGAACAATGATACACTGACGTCACATGATACAAGCAGCATACAAAAGGGCGTCAAAACTGATTGGATCTCAGCGTGGAGTAAGAATATTCTCGAACCATATATCCCGGCCCGGCCCTCGCAACACCACTCTCATCGCAACTCTCCGACATCTTACTATCTACCACAAGACTCCAAAATGGCATCACCACTACGTCGCTTCACCCTCGTCTTCTACGTCCCACCCTCCAACGCCGCAGCATGCAAAGCCGCCATTTTCAAAGCCGGCGCAGGACGCTACCCGGGTCCGGGCGGCTACACGGAATGCGCGTGGCAGACAACCGGTACTGGGCAGTTTAGGCCCGGTGATGCGGCGAATCCCGCTATTGGGAAAGTCGGCGAGTTGGAGGAGACACCCGAGGTTAGGGTTGAGACGTTAATCGTTGGGGAGGACACTACTAGGAAGGCGGTTGCCGCGCTTAAAGAGTAAGTGAACTGACGTGATGTGGGTGAGAATGGGATGGGAGCTAATGGTTGTAGGGCGCATCCGTATGAGGAGGTTCCTTATCAGGTTTATCGAGTTGAGGACTTTTGATTTGATCGCTTGCACAATGTGCCACAGCTTGCTAAAGAGTAAAGATTTCAATATTAGGGTATTATCAATAACACACTATAACATCGCCATTTTATCATCCATCATAACATAAAATCACGCAACAAGCACTTTTGTCTGCGGTAAAAGGGTAGTCCACCTCTCGCCAGGCTTTCTGCCCCAAATCCTCTTCAGCGCCTCAATACCCTTCAACAAATTCCCAAACCCACTCCTCTTATGATGTCTCCTCAGCACATCCTCGAAAAACATCTTATGCTCATCCAACTGAGCATCTGAAGCCGCCACAAACGTTGTCCATATCAGCATATGCGCAACGGGGGAGGTATGCGGTATTTGAGCTAGAGTTTCGATGAAGCGCTGCACGCGGGCGACGGAGCTCGGATTTGCGGGGACAGGATCGAGGTCGAAGAAGTTGGTTGTTTGGTCGGAGAGGACTTGTTGGAGGTAGATGTCGCGGGCTTGGTAGACTAGATCGGCGACTTGGGAGAAGAGGGGGGCGTGTTCGGGGTAGAGTTGGAGGCAGTGGTTGAGGCAGCCGAAGAGTTGGTCTGTTCGGGCTTGGGAGGATAGCATTGGGAGACCCATTTCTTCGCCGAGATGTGGAGCTGCGTAGACTCGGATTCTAGATGTGTAAGTGATGCGATGGGGAAAGTAGAAATAATTGGGTACTCACTTGTGAAGCTCACGCATAATGAAGCCGGCCAGGATACCTGTTCCCAACCCTTCCTTGCCACCAATAGCATCCAGCGCAGACTCGAGCATTCTCAGAAGCATAGGAAAGTCCGAACCGCCAGTAACAAGAACAGAAGTCATTAGTAGTAATAACGTAATTAGAACAGAATGTTGTGTTGTTTGGTCGCCAGAGTTGAGTTCTTGTCGTATCCGAAGCCCTTGCAGGGTTCGGCCGAGCAGTTGATATGGATCAGGCACATAGGAGTCATATGCAATGGTACCGAAGGCACTGTATTGTTGCTTACTCTGCCTTAGACTGTTTTCGAGTTTGTTGATGTGGAAGTGAAATGCCGAGACCGTGAGCACCGCGTCCATGACGAGTTCATCTTGTTGGGCTAGAGGGAGGAGGAGGTGACGCCAGTCGTTGTGGACGCCATCTATAGCGACCATCTCTGTTGATATACATTGTGAAACTGATGACTGTTAGCATGGCTCATAAGAGGCAAGGAGTGTGACTCACAAGTAAGGAACAAATTTCGTTTCCACGCTGGTGTATTTTCGGGGATGTCTTGTAGGAAGAGGGAGCAGAAGACGGCATGGTCATCTAATGATCCATTCCGTCTAGTGATCAGGTCTCGGACTTGGAGTTCCGAAGGGGCGGACTCGGTTCCAAAGTCAAATAGTTGGTCACCATTCTCGACTTGGAGTTCTGTGGTATCTGGGGATTGAGTCGCGGTTGACGATGTTGATATTATTTGCGCGTCCTCTGTGTCGATAGCCTTCCATTCGTTTCTAACAACCATTAGTAGATGTGACTTATCAATCAGTGCATCATACTCACTCTTCATAGACTTTGTCAATAGTCTTACCAGCCCATTTCCCCCTCGCAGCAACACCCTTATTAAATCGATGTCGAATACCCAAACCACTACAACTTAAACCTCTGGAAGTACACTTGTTACAACTAGGTTCAGTCCTATCACAATGAATACGTCGCTTTGAACACTCATGGCAACCTGTCTTTCGGTCAATGACTCCGCCTCAATTTCGCTTGTTAGGGGAACTGACCCTTTGTTTTTGGTACGTATGCACGTTTCTTTGGCGGCATCGCATTGAGCCGAGATCGACGCTTGGCAGTATCTTATCGGTAGAGATTAAAAACTAAATGCCCGACGTTGTAGGGAAGAAGGAGAAAAAGAATAAATTCTTCTTTCTAGAATGTTGGTTGCAAGCATCATTCTTTCGCGTCAGGGAAGTTGATGGCCGATGTTGCGGGGTATGGATTGTTGGAGCTGAGTCTCCGCAGCTGCTAGTCGATCTTGGGGAAATTGACTAGGCTGAAAAGGGAGGGTGAAATGAGAGCACCTCCGATAGGAACAACCATGTTCAGGTGGCTCAAAATGCTCAGCCACAAGAGCTGGTGCCGCCGTTGTAACGGTGTCTGAAAACAATGCATGAAAGAATAAGGAGTGAAGGTAAACTTTCGAAAGAATTCAATAATCCTATACCGTTTAGGCTGCGGCCTTCACTGCAATTTCAACTCCATCCAGGACCAATGTCAGAAATCTCAAAATTAGCGGTGGGAGAAAAGATGGATCGTGTTCTTCACTGCAACTTTAACCTCCTCCGAGGCCACTGTTAGAACTCGTAACAATGTTCATAAAGTCACTTTTATTGAGAACTTACTAAGCGCCAAAACCCTTGTTCGCTCAGTATACTCTGAAGCTACGGCCCAAAACTAATACGTAGACTGCTCGAAGTTTTCACTGCATTTTTAACAGCCGCCCAGGCTGACTTCCTGTCAGGTCAGTGCAATCATTGTCAGGCCACGCAGGCTACAGAGTCTGTCTAACAACAGATTCCAGGGCTGCAAATATGACTCCTGAATAGGTTGGATTCGAGACTCATGTCTACGTCCAGAAAAGTTTGTGCTATCAAGTGTCTTCAAAAACAAAAACGTCCCAACAACCCGCCTATTAGGACAGCCGTCAGACTAATCCCACGGTCGGATCTGCAAAAGGCCACGAGGGCGGGGAGCTTTTCTTTGTCCTTTTTCGTCCCGATACGGATATTCACTGCAATTTTAATCTCCACATAGGTGTCTTAAAGGTTCCTTCTCGCAGATTGCCAGCCCTCCCACCAGGTTCACTGTAATTTCAAACCCTCCAAGGTCACTGCTAGAAAGGTCCCAAGATCAGGGTTGAGTGATGATCGGTGTAGATTCTTTACTAGAGATTCAACCCCAATAGGATGAACTCTTAGAGTTCATTGTAAAAGGTTATTGTTTTTGTTCATTATTTACGTTCAAAACTAGACTAGGTATATTGAGCACGAGTTAAGATCTCGTCCTCCACTTTGAGTTCCGGACATAACATAATCGCGGGGCCAATAACTCTACCTTGTGGGATCGATTCTTTCCTTTCCGACATGTTTTACGTAAGATGGTCTTTGATAGGTCTCAAAACAAACATTGTGAACATCCGTCTGGAACCATCGGCATGCCATTCCACTCGCCAGAGTGGTATCAAGACCTCTACATTGTCCGTCGTCTTTGGCCCAATACCAGAGCTTCGACCAGTTTCATTGAATAGCTCCAGCTCAAGTAAGCAGTCAAGCAGGAATAGTAGGTATAAGAAGCCATCAGCCAGGATGAGCCATAGAAATTGACCTACTAGCCTGCTGAAATTAGCGCTAACTCGATCTTTATTGAAACATTCATAGAAAGATGGCCCGGGGAAAACATTCACTGCAACTTTAATCCCCTCGAACCTCGGTCAGGATTGCTGTTTTAACTCTGTGAGATAGGTCCGTTCTGCCTCCAATGCATTTTTAACTGGTCCATGTTCACCTACCTGTAGACACCATTGGGGAAGCGGGCTTCAAACTCAACTCTATGAGAGTGAGACTGCAAATATAATTACGATGGGAGACTTATTCTCTCATCTAGGAAAGCGTATGCTATCAACCAGCCTCTGTTCTAGCAAAACACAAGAAACGGGGGGTGCAAATCCAACTCCCTGCTCACCGCCAGGTAAATTTCACTGCAAATTTAACCCACGTCCAGCCTCCAGATGTAGAGCTAGTCGACTGAGAATAAGGGATCTTGGGAGACCACCAGCACTTGCACAAATGATGAGCTGACACATGGGCCACCCACATGGTGGGCGTGAGAATGAGACTATCGGACTTCCTGCCGTGACCAGGTCTGTCGATGGGGCGCTATATTGTCACAAATATTTTCAAGCACCTTCACTGCATTTTTAACGCACTTCCAGGTTCATAATTGCGCGATACGTAGTTGTGGGGGTGATTAAAAATGCAGTGAAAGCATAGGTAAATGGGGCGAACCACTATTCACTGACGAACCACTTTGTGTACACGAGGCCTTGATTGATGCCAGGGCGAACCATCTTTTGCAGCACAAGGAAGAGAAAGTGGCGGGGTCGCGGTGATGTTGGAGATGGAGAAGTGTTGGACTGCTACATGAGCTTTATGGTACTTATTGCAATACCAGCTTTATATGAGTGACGAAAAATACCCTTAGATTGGAACTTGATAACTATTTACTTCCATAATCTGTGATTGCTGTTGTGTTATTGTGTTATTTTGTCTGTTTTCAACCAGATCCTCGAAAAACTTTCGATCGAGGAGAAAGGCAGCAACCCGCGCCTTTCACTGCGATTTTAGCCCCCTCCCTGGGTAATACGTCGCCAATGGTAAATCACTAGAAACGAGCCAATCAGCATTACTCCGTAATCGGGAGGTAACAGCAGCGGGTGGTCAAAAACGCAGTGAAATTGGAACGGAATAGGGCGGATTTCAAGGTTGAAGATTCGAGCCGCTCAACACCTGCCTAGGTAGACAATCCATCCTACTCCATCATAAAATGAAAAACATCGACCTTCGGGCACAAGCGCACCAAGAAAGAAGGCACGTCAAACCGAAACCAGCTCACAATGCGCGGCATGTATACGTTTAACCCATCCGGAAGGGCAGAAATGCCGCCAGGTCATAATGGCCAATTCATATGCCGAACCCCTAAGAGTACAAAACATAAACACCCCTGGCCAGTTTCACTGTAGATTTAAGTTCTCCTGAAACAGTTTCCAAAGGAGCCTCGACTGGGAGCTGATTTAAGGTATTAATCCTCACTACAATCTTAGTTGATCCGCAGAATCGAGGAATGACCCAAGCTTCGTGTGTGGGGATAGTTATAGAGGTATGACGTTTCAGACAAATGAGTTACTTCAAGTTAACGTATCCCGAGAATACTATCGCTGATCAGAAAGATCCCAGGGGAGGAGGGTGTGTAAGACGGAGGGCTTCACTGCAAGTTTAACCCCTTCCGAGGCCACTGTCAGAAGAATTCCAAGACAACCTCCTATGTAGGTGGCTATGCAATTATGTACCGTCGAGGACCGGCTCCATATTGGTCCGTGATGGTAGTAACTTTATGGAACTATGAAGCATTGTAACAAGTCCTTCACTCCAATTTTAACCGCCGCCCAGGCTTACCTTACCTCTATCTACTGTTAGGCTATGCAGGCTACAGGACTTGAACGTCCAAATATGGGACTGCGGATATAGCTTCTGAATAAGATTTCAGTCTCATATCCACGCCCAGAGAAAAGTAGTCACGATAATGTGATCTTTACAGCAATTTTAATCTTCTCAAAGACTCTTCTAACAGCAACTGAACAGATGGCATGATCTGTGCCATCATCCTGTGTACTACCTACGTACAAGTGACCGGTTGTCTTTGCTGCATTTTCGTCTCCGTCTAAGAAGACTCAGAAAGGTCTCAGAAGTTGGGGTAACCAATAGTCTTGTTGACCGGCCCCTTTACAAGAAGACTGGACGATTTCAACTTTCACTGCAATTTTAACCCCCTCGAAGACTACACTTTGGAATTGGGGGAAACCAATAGTAATGGTTGTAAGCACATGTTGGACACGACTCGCGGACACTAAATTTCACTGCAATTATAACCTCTCCACGGCCATTGTTAGAAAGGTCTCAGAACTGGGGACCTGTCAGTAAGGATGCCACTCGGACTAGGTCAAAAATGCAGTGAAAACGTAAAACTGAAAACTGGGGGGTTGAAACTCTAGCACACAGTCAGCAGACATACCTACAGCTACGTAACCGATAGGTTCGTACTCGTATTCACCTTACGACGACGACTCATCTGCCAGCTCATCATTCGTGGTACTCCTAGTGATCGTACATCCGGAATCCTGTATCCTCAGCTACGCAGCTCCAAATATCCATGGAGGCCGGTTGTGGGTTAAATTTGCAGTGAAGATTTAGTCTGGCGGTTAGTCTAACGTTTTCGGGTCTGGTTGAGGGTTAAATTACCGTGAAATTCCAATATGGCGGTTAGTCTAACGATTTCAGGTGAACCGGCAGGTTACATCTAGCGCTCCATCTTGTGAGGCGTCGTATTGGAATGTTTCTATCTTGGAATAACAGACTAGTTCGCTGTAGAGCTTTCCCTGAAACTCAATATGAGCTTAAGATACTACTCTGGATTTGTATCTACAGTCTTATTTCTATTGTTAAACAGATCTACAGCCTGCTTAGCCTATCAATACTGACATAAGGTCAGCCCGCCCGGCAACTAAAATTGTAATAAAAGCATTGGGGTCTGAAGTCAGAGAGTATCTGCTTTCTTCAGAAGGTCCAACCGAGCAGCAATAGCAAAAAGGCCTTAGATTGGAGGGGGTTAAAGTTGCAGTGTAGGTACCTACCTAGGTACTTACTGTCCCTGTTGTCACCCTCCCTGATCATGTCCTGTTCTCAGATTGGGCTAAAAGTGCACTGAAAACATGACCAATATTCCTGGGGGTTGAAAGTAGCTGGAAGTCTGATAGGTTTGTTCTCGCGCCCACCTTATGCGAACGGCTTATCGATCATCTCATCGCTTGTGCCCTGATGTCGGTCTTGGATTTAGGATCAATGTGTTTTTGGAGGCTTGTCGTGTGTTAAAACTGCAGTGAAGGTATGTAGCCACAGGCGCTACAGGTGCATATTAGCGTTGTCGTGGCTGCGACTGCAAGTCCGATGAATTATATTCTGAAGTCCCATAGGCTCATCCGCGCGTTCACCTTATGCGGGCGGATGGCTGTGGAAACTCATTCTCTTGATTTTCGCAGCCAATAGTTGAGGCTGGTGGAGATGGCGTGCTGGGAACTTCTGTCCAACCCTCCAGAAACTTTATCGATGGCACCAAGGTAGTAATTTTGCGCATTCAGTTCTCAGACCGTCATATAGGCTTGTAGGATATGTCATACCTTTGTTGTATTTCGATCTGTGGCAGGTCTGTCGGAATTTCAGCGACCTTTTCTTGCGCTGTTGCGCCGAAGTTGATACGCACTGAATTTGATAATATCGAAAATTCTAGGCTGTCAGGCAGAGGCGATTGACGTCTTGTTGGAGATCCAGTAGCATTACGAAGATATATTACTTTGTGCCAACCAGCAGGTGGAATCTCGATCTTTACATCCTCGAAGTTCTTGCTCAAATGGCTGTGGACATCTGGTTGCGTCCCTTGCGTTCGTCCTCTCACGCTCCAAGGGCCCCCGGTATGATCAGTTAAGACTAGTAAAATAACGATAATGAAGAAAAGGATCGGGTCTGTACGACTTGTTATGACTAGCGTTTTGATATCACTAGGATAGAGCTTGGTACGGCATATTCCAATTTTTCGCTACGGACTTGAGAGATCGATGTACAAAGCATGGCGCTGTCTCACGCAATTCGCAATCTGAGCAACGGTGGAGTATAGTAAGGATACGGAATAGGAAACATTGTTCAAGGAACAAACAACGAGATCCGCCACAATGCGTTTATGCTGAACAGTAGATACCCAAACAAAGCATGTGATAGTTTCTGAAAGATTCAAGAGAATTGTTCAGTACAAGAAATGGGGTGGAGGATGTAGCCGTCAGTTAAGAGCAGTCAAGAATGGGCCTCGGCATCATTAACAGAATAAACGGTCTCACAACTGGGGCATTTAAAGCCGTGCTGAGAGACAGAAACTCGAACAAGGCAGCGTGTGCAGCGCCACCATGTAATCCTGCTCGATCTCATGGCGGAAGATGCGCCACGTCTTTGAATATTTTCGCCATGATATTGACGAAGATGATCTCGAAAATGATCCCGTCGATGGAAGGGCTCACCCTCGCGAAAGCAGCCATGATAGTCACACGGGTAAACTATATCGGGCTCATTAGAATGAGTTCTCTTATAGTGACATTGAAGATCCGCTGTTCGTTTGAAAGGGCGAGAAGTGCATCCAGGATGAGGGCAGGAGACAGTCATTCCATCTCCATACCTCTCAGCTGTAGAACAACCCCCGTGACAGGCTTGTGGGGAAGCCGGCGAATGATAATCGGAGTCGTCCGTAGACGGTTTTGAAGCAGCTGGTTCGGCATAAGCAGGGGTGTCGTACCATGGCGACTGTGCACCATTTCGCATTGGATAACCTTGGTGTTGCAAAGGACCTGACACATTATAACCAGGGTAGTCCATTATCGATTGTGAAGTAGATGGCATAGAATGAAGAGAGTAGCTCGTAGATGGTTCCATATCTGTGGCACTTTCTGTCTGCGGCCAGGTATGAGAAGACCATACTCCCTCATCCTGAGCTTTGCCTTTGCCTTTTATTTGCGTCTTTGTACTCTGGGTTGTCTCAGGTTGATTGTCTGCTTCCCAAGACTGTGGAACACCGTAGTACTGCTCGGACCGAACAGGTTCAAAGACTTGGTCGGGTTCTTCCTCTGCCTTCTTCTTTTCTTCGCGGCGCGCAAAGCGGTGGGCCTCATCGTCACGGCGCTCTTCCCCAGGGCTTAAGTGACGCATCTGTTGCTTCGTGCCGGCGAGCTTAAGTAAAGATATACGAAGCTGAGTCTTGAAAAACTCCTACTTATCTTACAAGATAGAATCGACGAGCGAGTCTCTTTTGATAGAATCAGCTGAAAGAGGGGTGTATCCCTCTGTGATTCCTGGCAAGAGTTCATTGGACCCGCGATATGCAGGCTGCCAAACACATGATCACGCATCCCTCATCTCATCTCCACCCCTCAGCAGCTACTCCAGCCTGGTATCTCATCAATCCCGTCTTTTGTTTCTGGCTCCTTTAGATTGCCTCACGAACGTTTTCCTTGGCATCAGCTCGCCTTGGAATTGCAACCGCTCTTGCACGGATACGCCTGGATGGTTCAACAGATCCAAGTCTTCAAGATTCCGATCAAAATGGCTGGGATTCCTTACAGTTTCTCTAGGCTTGGTGGAGCTAGTATAGCCAATTATTCAGAGAGAATACAGTAAACTACATTAGGACCCATCGTCAAGGGTTGACTCAAAAGAATGGGTATCCTCAATGTGACGTTCAAGATCCTCTCTTCGCTTGGAAGGACGAACAGTGCAACAGGAAAAAAGCAGGACTCAGTAGGAGACTGGCACCTCACCAATAGACCCCACGGCTACAGCTTGCACCATGAGATGATGCTATCAGGTCATACAATAACCAGAGGGGCCATAGGTGGTCATAGAGTAGCCATTGTAGAATAGCCTGGGGTTATATTATATCGATTGTGGAATAGCTAGTATAAAATGAGCAGGGTATCCCGCTAATTGTAGTAAAGGATGTCATGCAGAAGAGTTAGGGTAGTCCGTTATTGACTATAGATCAGTTGGCATCGGATAAGCATCCAGTATAGGATAACCGGAGTAGTCTGTAGGCGGTTCTTTGTTTGGTTCTTTGTAGCACTCTCCTCTGCGGCGAGACAATAGAAAGCCACGCCCCCTCATCTCAATTTTCCTTTGCCCTTCGTTTCTTCTGCATCCGTTGCTACTTCGGGAGTGGAATCTGGGGATACCAATTTGATATCTCTTCTCCCATTATCGCGCCTGACTGCTTTCTTCCCAATATTTGGCTGAACCAAGTCTGATGAACCTATATCGCCCGTGGTATCGGACAAAAAGGTGGCTTCTTTTCTCTTGCCCAGTGGCTCAAGACCACGTACTAGTGGACCTTTTTGGAATGGTGGTTGTCGTGCAGAGAGTGAATGTGTGGAATCTGCATCAGCTCCGGGTTTGGAGCTACTCTCCTCGCCGCTTCCGCTCGTGTATTTCGTCAGCCAACCTGGATCTCGGATCCGAGCAGACTCAGGAATCCAACTGGTCCCAGAAGCCCACCCCAAAGGGCCGGCAACTTCTACTGTTGGCAGAGCAAAAAGAGCTAGTTTTTCAAGATGAAAACCAACATGGTCGATATATTCTGCAAGTCCCGTCGCCAAGTGCTCGCACAAAGGGCAGGGACTGGAGGTACTATCTGGTGCGTCTCTTTCACCTAGAGCTGTAATTGACTTGAGCTCATCTTCGGTTCCTGCTGGGAAGTGATGTTCTCTGATGTGAACTCTGAGTTCTGCTGCGGAAGGGAAATGCTGCTGACATTTGAAGGGACATGACCACGATCGCCAGTGGTATTTAGAAACATGCGACTGCAAGTCGCGGCGACGATCGAAGTCGGAGTTTGATTCGATGCAGTTGCGATCGATACATTTGTATGGACGGAGATCCCCAAACACGTGCTGTCTGTAGAACGGTATTAGAGGTGTGTACATCCTGGTAAGCAAAACCGTAACTCACCTCCATGCGGTAAAGGTCTTTGCACAGATCATTCTATAGCAGAATGGGCACTCGAATATCCCATCTTCTGTCGCGCTCGGCCGTGGGGGTACTGTATCCGGGCCAGTACCTGCAAACAACCAGTGATGAGCGGAAGTAGTCTGTGACATATCATCATCTGATGGAGCATCTTCTTGGATGAGCTCAGTGTAGTATTTATCGTTTTCCCTGTTGGAAGCTAACTCTCTACGATGCGCCTCTAGATCTTTGAAGAATCGATGTCGGCGAGTGATGAACTTCGCCAAATTCTTTGCCATATCATCGGTGATACTGGGGAATCTCTTTCTGACGTGTTCGATATCGCTTCGCTCATATGCTGAAGGGGAGTACCTGATTTCATTCGGCTTGGTGTAAGGTTTGCGAAAGTGCTCGTGCGGTGCTGGGTTGGCGGTGGCTACTGACAGACGCAGGAGACAATCAACAACTTCTCCTATGTCGGTTAGGAGTGTGGGCAGACCTGAGCTCGGCAGGTTATCGGAACCAGGAACAGAAAAGTCGGACTCATCGCTTTCGGCTGAGTCTGAAGAACAGGAGTGAGAGTCGTCGTGTTGAAAGGCTTCATGCTTTCCATCCTCTTGGCTCTGCACTAGAAAGGAAGGGTCGTCTTGAACCAGCGACGTTGCAGTTTGTAAGGATTCAGACATGCCCTTGAGGAGGTAGGTAACCTGTTGTTGCAGATGGGCGGCTTCCCTAAGTCGACCATCGAGGGAGGAAGGACCGCTTTGATGGGCTGTCTGATTACCGACCCACATCTTAAATCGAGTGAAATCATTCTCTGTCTGGAGTAGATATTTGTTCAACGTGGCTCCCTCCAAGACGTCATTAGACCTGGCAGCCTTGGAAAGAGCGCCCTCGAAATTTTGAAAAGACTCGAGGGTCTTTGCGACGTGGCTCGCAATCAACCCTGGTTTCTCGTCATGATCCATCATTCACATCTTCCACAACCAGATGACCAATGGATTATTGCAGGATATGTCGCTCCGTGCCGATGGCTTCTGATGAGATGAATGGCGCTGAGCTCTTGATTACCTATGCTGTTCTTACAGAAAAGAGACAATCGGAGAGTATCTATGAATGAGGCTCTTTAGTAATTCCAGCCGAAAGAGGGGTATGGACCTCCGCGGCTATTGGAAAGAGTTCATTGGGCTCACGGTATGCAGGTTGTCAGACGCATCCCTCATTTTATCCCCCATCTCCCAACAACTACTCCAGCCTGGTACCCTCATCAATCTTCAAAAACAACTCACCCATGCTAAAGATCCAGGAAAGCGCAGCATCTCCATCATGTCCGGGCTCGAAATCGCTGGTATAGTCTTGGGCTCCCTTCCTTTGCTCGTCACAGCGTCAGAGGCCTATTGCAAGTTCATAAGAGACTGGGGTAAGGCCCCGTCAGAGCTGAAGAGCCTCAATCGCCAATTGACCACAGAACGAGCGAAATTGTACAACGTCTGCGAGCTGCTCATCAGCGATGTGTTAGAACAGCCACAAATCCAGCCTATGCTACGGGATCCATTCGGGCCGCTATGGAGGACCCCGGAAATGGACAGGATGATTCGAAGGAGACTCTGGGATTCGTACAAGCCCTTCGTAGAGACCATCACAGAGATACAAGAGGGGCTTGGCAGTATCATGCGTCGACTCAGAGTACAAATTTCAGGAAATGGAGAGGCACGATAATGTCATCTTACAGTCCAGGTTCTCTCTTGCTAACATCGGCTTAGGTTGAGTGGGTAAACAAGGGTTGCATGACTCGAGAATTCAAAAAATTGCTATATCGCATTCGCCGTGACGACTACAAGGATGACATCGCTGTCATCTCAAAGGGCATCAGTGACCTAGAGTCTCTAGCCAAACTGAGCATAAGACTCGAACCTAGCCGAAAGAAACAATCCCGAGGCAGGTTTTTCAAAATCCTACGAGACCTGTCGACAAGTGTATATCAAGCACTTTACTCTAGCATGTTCTGCAATCATCACCACGACGTGAGCCTCGAGCTTTCCCCACGTTTCATCGAGATTGGATACGAGTGTGAAGATGAGAAGGTCATAGGGGATGCACAGTTCAAGATGGTGATATCTTTTGAGATGGTGGAGGGACACGCTATGAAACGATTTTGGGACGAGGTCAAGATCAAGACAGCAACTTCGGTCACAACAATAGAATCACCAGCTTGTCTGCCGCACCCCGTGGCAAACCGCAGCAAACGAAGTTCTTTCAATTTCAGAAAAGGTTTCTCATTCACGAACCCATCTAACTCGACGCATAGTGTTGGGTCGGCTACAGCAACAATGACCCGTCCCCTTACAGATATTGCTTTCACCAGAACCTATGCCGAAGATGGTAAGCAAAAGCAGCCTCTTAACCTTTGTATGGCTCTCAGGAATTCAAGGACCATACGACCGCTTTGCTACGGCCATCTCATCGATAAAGCGGGCGCTGATCGACGATTTGAAGTATGTCCCTCGGGAACGACAGTCAACAGTGACTGCTGGTCAGTAGTCACTCTAGACGACATCTTAGAGGGCACGGAGGGACTGAGACCGCTGGTTTCACTCGCTGAAAGGATTCGGCTTGCACTTGCAATCGCCTCAAGCGTTCTTCAACTAAGCAAGACACCGTGGCTTCCAGAGGCTTTAACAAGGAAGGACGTACACTTCTTTCGAAAGGATGGTACTTTTTCGTACAAACACCCATTTTTTCTTCAAAAGTCCGAGGCGAACCAAAAACAGCGTCGAATCATTGCACAACGGTATTCCTATCTGGATAATCCGACGCTTTTTGCATTGGGTATTCTTCTTCTTGAAATCATCCTTGGGCAGTCTTTTGAGCAGCTTCGGTCTCCTTTCAAACGACTGGATATTATTGACCCTCATGGCATCATTCACGATTCTATTGCCGCGCACAGGCTTTTGGAGAGAGTTGCTTTGATTAATCCAGCCTATCAGGCTGTTATTCAGAGATGTATCGACTGCACTGAAACTCGTGGGCTGGATGACGATGCTTTCAGACAGGAGGTGTATAATGATGTGGTTATGGAGCTTGAAGCCATGGTTGACTCGACGAAGATTGGTATGTAGAAGAACCCGGAGGTCAAAAGATACATGTTGAGAATCTTGACGAAACTCTGATTTGGCACTTGGATATCTATTGAATCCCAGGTGGCTCAGTCTCACGCAGAGTTGTAGAGGTAGAGTTTTGTTCCTTTGATTTGTAAGGATACACCATTCCATGTACTTATAGGCCGGGAATAACATAGATACTACGATTCCGAAGCCAAAACCAGGCACGGTGGACCCATGTTTTCCAGAAGACTACCAGCCTCAGACAAGGCTTAGCTACAGTTCAAGTGGACACTTATCAAGTAGACGCCAATCTAGATTCGAGAGTGACAAAGACGGACCTATTCCTCCTTGCTATTCCCGATAGTGAGGCTCTGTATAAAGCGTGAAATCGAACAAAGCTACTCCGTACACGCGCTCTGTACAGCGGATATCATTTTTGGTCTATGAGTCATATATCTACTCTCACAGAACATCTTAAATTCAACGTATAAAGCTCTTCTAGCTTTCGAAATATTTCAACTCTGGATCCTCAGCTTCTGGCCCCTTCATTCTCTCATCAGCATAAGAAACAGCAAAGGCCTTAAACGCGTCCAAATCAAACTCCGCTGCCCATCCCTTCTCCTGTAGTGCCCGAATAGCATCATTGATCCACGTCACGGAACTTTGCTGCGGATCCGTATTCTTCACCGGCAAAGGAATCCCTTGGAAAAACTCTCCCAATTCCTCACCAGAAACATCTTCCGGGATCTCCCCAATCACGATCCGCCCTAGCAGCTTCTCATGTCTCCGTGGCGTGATATCCAGCTCTGACCGGAACCACCAGTCCATGGTAGGATTGTTCATGCGGAAAGTCACAGGATTGATGTGCGACGCATCAGTAGCATCAAACGAGTGAACATTCTCTGCCTCGCCAGGCGACGGTATGATCATGATGCTCCAGTGGTAAGCCTGCTTGTCGAAGACTCGTCGAGCATTTCCGACGGAAAAGTGGTCTCGATGATGTAGAGCAACAGTGACGAGTTGGACCATGACTAGCCATTATCATCAGCCACCAAAACTACACACATCTTAGAGAGTTTATTGACTCACCTTTCTTGACAGTCGCGTAAAAAGAGTTTGAGATAGTTTCTGACCGCCAGAATGATTTGGCCACGCGGGGTGGCTACTTCAATGGGAAGTGATTGGCCTAATCCACTGTCATGATAGCCGAGAGTCTACGAATCAGGATGCGTTATGGACGGTAGATCGCGATATTGCCTCCGCTTTTGACAACACACGTTTTTGAGGCTGCAAAACTTGATACAACTCAATTTTTATAATACCACGTTTTATGGCGGCCACGAAATGTCAGTCTTGGAATTTAAACTCAATTAATATTGGAGAAGAGATAAGATAAAAAAAGGACTGGAGCTATTGTGTGGGTCAGGACTAGTGAGAGAAGTGTATCTGAGTGTTTTGATGAGTTCTTTGTCTTGAATTTTTCATGGTTGCTCGTGATGGTTCGCCAAGATCAGAATTTTCATCATAGCATCTTTGGCGATGATCGGTCTTGGGGACTATGATAGTACTTTCATGTCTTCAAAATCGTCATCCAAAGGTGAATACGAATGTTCACTGTTAGCGACTGAACAAGACGCAGTTGGTTCATCGTGAACGTCTTTGAGGACTCTGTTGAAATTTCATCAACGGACGTCCTCTATTGCAACTCATCAGTCATCAAGATTTATACCGAATGAGGTGACTCCCTTCTTTGAGAAAATCCACATCATATTAATTTAAATGGTAGTCCGCGATGGTTGAAATTAATATGTTCATCCACCGCAATAAAATTGTCATGTGTTGAACTACCAATGATACAGGGTAGCCGACTTACCCCAATAAAACCTCAACTCACGAGGACACTTACCGACAACTGGTTACACCAGAACGGAAGAACGCACTCAAATGGCATGTTCTATTTCGGCAGCTGGTATTTATAGATCTCATCGTAGGGAACAAAGACCTGATTGAAGCCATGCAACGTGGTTGTAGGCCGCGACCAACTGCAAGCACTTCAACGCACACCAACCAGACACATCCACCTAAGCGCCATCAAACACACGAAACTCTCCAAGAAACAGTCAAACATCTTACCAATCCCCAAAACCTCGGCATGTAACTCCAGTGCATGTGCATATGCACATCGACGATGGCTTCAAAGCGTAAGCAGCCATCTGCAAGCTACGTTTCAAGAATTTGCCACACACAAAAAAGCCACGAAGTTTAAAAGGCAAACCCACAAGGCTGGAACATGAACATCACCAACGGAATTGTGGAGGCAAGTTCACGGGAGTGTTTCCACTTCTGGAATGAACTCGGGATGGCACTTTGGGAGCACAGAGAAGGTCAAAGCTGTTAATACGAACTAACTGCCCATTGAGCTTGTGAGAGTAAAAAAGAGAGTTTCACAGCGTTCGGGTGATGGCTGATACGGATATTATCCGTAGACAAGTCGCTGATCGTTTACGATTTCTGGATATTCCCCGAGGGCGCTTGTGTAAATGATCGTCGTTGGGTTGCAGTTGAGGCATAAACACACCGATTGCGGGCAATTATGTGTTTCAAGCTACTCTTCAAAGCGCCGAGTTCAAAGCTGTTCGTCTACAGTCATTTAATATCGAGATCTCAAGTCAGCTGTTAGATCGTGGCTTATTTAAATAAATTGACTACTTGAAGATCAAAGACCATCAATTAATGCACAGAGAAAGTAGAAGCTATAGAGACCCGTGCATTGAGCGGCTCGTTTCAGATTGCCATGCGCCGTAATGCATGGAGACTAGAGTAGTCTTGGCTCCCCGCTCTACAAAGCATCAAATTGAAATTGTGCAGTACAGTACAGTACATAACAACGAGGAGCCGGGTCCCAGGTCCGCACATCGAAGCTTCCATGAAACCTTCTCTACCTTAGGGTGGAAAAGCTAGAGCGCCCCCCCTGAGCTTGGGAAGATTGGATGGGGACTCATGATGTCAACGCAAGGGAGGAATTGCATTGCATTTTGCTTCTTTTAAAGGGTCCTTTGTTTGTTCTTTCGTGGCGGGTATTCTCGGGGGTTTACAAGAGGAAATCTTATGATAAAAAGAAAACATCTGCTGAGGCGAATATTTGCTTTTGCAACAAGAGAAAAGTCAAGAGAGACAAAAAAGACGAGATCGAATTGGATCTTGACTTGACTAATCGATTACTGTACTGGGAGGTGACTAGCCGCCGCCAGTGCGTACATGGCGTTACTTTGAACGGTAGATTGAGCCCAAGATAAGTGCATTTGCATTGCAATTGCTACTGTCTCTCACCATTCATCTAGATATCTATCTGTCATTGACTGGTGGGGGTCAAAGAGGTCAAGTCAAGATAACGCGCGTCAAGGATCTCCTCGGGCCGTATGATCATCTAAATAAATTGCAATGCGAACTCATCGCTCGTCCAACAGAGAAACTTCATCAATTCATGCAACGTCGGGTCCTTATCCTTCCAGAAGGGAGGGGGAACCAGAACCACACCACCATCACGGAAACCCATTCTGACGGATTCAGGGGCTTATCCCATGTCCAAGCCAAAAGCCTATAGAAAAAGCCCCTCTTTCTGCTTCCCTCTTTTGGGCGTCAACTTTTTACTGTTACTTTCCCATGTGACAATTGGTACAGTTAGCTTGCTGGGCTAGTCTACGGCGATGGTCCGGTCAAGCATTTAATGGATTGAATTGGGATTAGAAGACCCCTGTTGAGCCCTGAATCATAAAAAGCATGGATTAGAAGTGGTTTAGTGAAATGCTTGGTAACACAAATCAGTTACCGATCATTTTTCTTTGCTTCTTCAATCAATTATTGGGTGTTGTCCAGCCAGTCATGGGGTAAAGAAGATCAGGGTCTTGGGCCATTGAACAGCGGGCACGATTCATGCATTTGCATTTGCATCTGCGTCTCTGATCAAGGGACCATCTTCTAGAAACCTTCTTTTGCGTGAACTCAACATCATTCGCTATGACATCTGTGACAAGGAAATAAAGAATATCTCTCATACAAAGGCCGGAGACAAAGAGTGATAGTTCAAGTATCTATCTGACTTGGGTTAGTTTGAAACAAAAAGTCAACTGGGGAAAGAAAGAGCTGGAGCTGTTAATGCCCAAAGAAAGATGCACGTCCCCTAAAAGTGAAAGTTGAATTGTCACTCAGGTCGTCGCACGGACTCCATCGGCCAGAGTTGCGCCCTGCAATACAGTGTCGACTGTGTTACATCACGCACAGTCTGCTTGAACAGGGTCTGATCCCCTATTTCCCCTCCAGATGTCACAACCGATTGAGGCTGTGATTCTCGTTCAGAACAAGAAAAAATCAAGAGTGAATGAATGTTCGAGTCAGATCTAGATCATCGAATCACATTCATCATGTTAACTCATTCACTACGCAAGCGTTGTCAGCACAGCGCCTAAAGTATCACCATAAGAGAGACACATTGAACCCTCCACTCCCAGCTCCAGCGTCAAGCAAGATCCCCGCTAAAACAGTACAGTAGCGCTTCCGGCCGCAGCTCCCAGCTCTTTCCCACACTGAGCCCAGTCCAATCCGTTCTCTTCCTCCTTTAATTAACCTAAATCAACGCCCAGCCCAGCCTCGTCCTGTCTGTCCCCTTTGACTGACCCAAACTGCGGCCAGAGAAACAACGTGCAGTGCAGTACCAACTTTAAACTTCCTGGCGATTAATTAATTTCTCTGTTTCTCAAAAATCCATTTCACATCGGAATACTTGGCCCGCCTGCCAGAATCAGAATATACATCTATCTCTTCTTCTTCAACGCCCGGCATCATCGATCCGCTTCTCTGAACCCCCCCTTCGATCGCTCCACCGCCTGACCCCGAGACCACCACCTCTACACTCTCAACCAGCCATCACCAGGCCCGGACGGAGACCACTGTACAGCTTGTGAGAGGACGATCCGCCCATTTTTATCCCTTGTCAACGACTTCAACCTCTACGACTCTTCTCAACAAACTCGCTTCAAAAGTTCAAACCCCCTTTACCCCGCCTGTATTGTCTTGGGTTCGGTCTTGACTGCGAAAAATACCCAACGTGCGCAAGCCCGAGTCTCACGCCTTCGATTTCACCGCCGAATGACGTCGAACCGCTCGTTGAAACGTTCCTGAGTCGACGCCAAGCGACCATCCCTAGACATTCAACCTGCAACCTTGCTTCCGCCGGGCGCTTTCCCACGAAACCTCCCTCGACAAACCCTCTTTCGTTTGCTCCCTACCGCCGCCGCCGCCTTTTCGTTTCTCTCCCCCAAACGCTCCTCTCGACGGATGGCGTAGAAGGCTATGGCCCATGCCCCGTTGCTACGAAATAATACAACTCCGGTCTTTCAGCCAACCTCCAACGGATTCGGTGGGTTTCCGCAGACCAGTATGAACCATGCGCCGCGCGCCAGCCAGCTGTCGGGCTCGACAGCCTATGCTGGATCAACAGCTTCCTTGAGCTCTCTAGCTACCGCCACTACCGCCACACCAGTAAACGGCGGTCCTGTTCAGGCCACGACCAACATTATCAACCAAAAGGCCGATGCTTCGCGATCACTGTACCAGATTTGTATCTCGCTCAAGCAGCGCCTAGCTCAGGTCCCCGGCTTCGGCCCTTATCTCGACGAGCTCGACCCCAATGATCCCGTCGATCCACTATGGAACCTCTTCCGCTCCGGATACCCTCTGCTTCTCATTTACAATGCCCTGCGACCCAACGAGGAGCTCAAGGTCGATGTCTCTGGCGCTAACGAAGCCAAGAAGTCCAAGATCGCCATCTTTAAATTTGTCCAGGCCTGCATGAAGGATCTGGAGATTCCCTCCTCTCATAGCTTTGTGATAGCTGACTTGATGGGTAACGACACAAGTGGCTTTGTCAAGGTCAGTAGCTCTTTGTGTGTTTTTGAAACTAAGCTCATTATTATTCTAGGTAACTCAGGTTGTTAACTACGTCTTGGACCGAGCAGAGGAACGCGGCTATCTCCTTCAGGCTCTACCTTCTTTCGACGACGGAAACAGCGAGCCCACCGGTGGGCAAATGACATACCGAGACCATATTATTAGGGAACTTGTCGACACCGAGCGAAAATACGTCCAAGATTTGGAGAACCTGCACGACTTGAAAAAGACGCTCGACCAGCAAGGCGCAATTCCTGGCGATACTCTCCATCAGATCTTCCTCAACATCAATGCTATTCTCGATTTCCAACGCCGATTCCTGATTCGAGTCGAGACAACGAACTCCATGCCCGCTGCGAACCAACGATGGGGAGCTCCATTTGTTATGTACGAGGATGCATTCGAGATCTACCATGCCTTTATCGCAAACCAGCGCAAGGCCGCGCAGGTGGCCAACCAGGTTTTCGACAAGATTCAACGTTCCTCGCATCCCGTGGCAGCCGATTTCAACACCCTCGATGGTTTCCTGCTTAAGCCTATGCAAAGACTGGTGAAATATCCTCTATTGCTCAAGGTGGGTTGATGCGCTTTAAGAGTTGATCAGCAACTAACATGCGGCAGGATCTTAACAAGAAGAGCGAGGATGACGAAGTCAAGGCAGACTTGACCAGCGGTTGCGAAGCTGCTGAGCGAGTTTTGTCCAAGGCTAACGAGGCAGTGAACCGTGATCTTTTAGATGAAGCTGTTGAGGAACTCACAGGCCGTGTGGAGGATTGGAAGAGCCACAAGGTGGAGCAATTTGGCAAGCTTCTCTTGCATGGTGTCTATGGAGTCATCACTGGAAAGACAGACCAGGAGAAGGATGTAAGTTGGCTCTTTCGAACTATTCGACCTTTACTAACGCCTCCAAGTACGAAATCTACCTGTTCGAGTCTATCCTTTTGTGCTGCAAGGAAATCTCATCAAGCAAGAGCAAGGATAAGAAGGACAAGTTACGTTCAGCAGGCCCCAAGGTTCGAAACAAGAACGCCAAGCTTCAATTGAAGGGTCGAATTTTCATGACCAACGTGACCGATATCGTGTCCTTCACCAAGCCAGGTGAGTTTTGAAGTTCAGGTGGTCCGATCAGTGAAACTAACTTTAGAAGGCAACCACAGCGTGCAGATCTGGTGGAAGGGAGATCCAGGTGTTGAGAACTTCGTCATCAAGTTCTTGAACGAGGAGACTTTGAAGAAATGGGTAGCGACTCTGGAAACCCAGAGGAAGCATAACGCGCCGCGCCAATCATCGAACTCGGATACCCTCTCAACTGACTTTGCCTGGACACGAGACCAAGTAGCTGGCCTGGAGAACCCTTACTTACAAGAAAACGACGAAGACGATGATGACATCGGTCCTGCAACAGCACCTGCTGGCTTCACTGGTGTTACTCATCCCATGGGTCTGGGCCCTCGAACAGCTTCCAGCAGCAACCTTCGTGCTCGAGCAGGAACTGGTGAAAGTTCAGCATCGCTTGCCGGTATGGTGAGAGCTCCTCCACCAAGGTTCCCTCTACCTGCACCACCCGGATCACTCAGCCTCCAGACACAACCAAACGGTGCTCACTCACCTGGCGCTTGGGCGGGCGACAGTTACTTCTCCCCTGTTACCGAGTCACCAGCTTCCACAAGGACGAGCACTACCAGCGGAATGTTCTCGACACCTCAATATGGGTTCCCTAAGACTTCTACTCCCAACCCACAGCAATGGGAAGATGCCCACGGCAACCGATACACTGCTCCTGCGATGCCCCGCGCTCCATCTCGTGATGGTCCTTCACCGAATCCTCAACGTAATCCTCGAGGACCTTCTCTGCCAGCGATGGCCTCTAACAGTCAGGCGGCTTTGGCAGCACAGCACAGGAACCGTTCATACAGCACTCCCGATATTAACGTACCCGGAATGCCACGCACTCGTCAACCTAGCCACGGAAACATCCCTGCAGTGCCTGGAATCCCCTCGCACTTGCACCCTGGTCACGCTAACAACATTTCTCGAGATCAAACAGGCTCACCCAGGAATGATCAGCCAACTCGAGCTCAGACAAACAGCCCAGGAGCTCAGCGAGAACGTATGCATAAGCCTACAGGAAGTGTGGGTGGTAGCATGAACCATTTCCCTGCTCAACCAGTTCACCCACGATCCATCACACCAGGCGGTGGAAACCAGCAACTCCGTGTCGATGCCGCCGCTGCAAACTCACGAACGGTGTCTCCAGCTCAGGGCACAGCAACAATGCCACCACCATCAGCATCATTGAGTCCCGACATGCCTCTACCAACACAACTCAAGGTCCGAGTGAACTGCGAGTCAGGCAACTATGTCACTCTAGTCGTGGCTTTCAACATCACGTACCAGTCTTTGGTCGACCGTATCGATGCCAAGCTCGCCCGCTTCACAGCTAGCAGCATCAGCAAGGGCATGCTCAAGCTTCGATACCGTGACGAGGACGGCGATTATGTCGCTATTGAGGGTGATGACGATATCCAGATCGCCTTTACGGAGTGGCGCGAGAATGTGTACTCTGGAGGCGTGGGAGAGATAGAGCTCTTCTGCGTCGGCGACACCGCCTAGACCGCGCGCGTAAGATAAAGCTCTTCGCCTAGACGACGCGTGCTATATAGAGCTCTTCTACACGATCGACACCCCGGAGATAAAAGGTAGCATTGTGCTTGGGATACCCACGGATCATTACCGCATTTTTCGGCGCACGGCAAAAACAAAACACAACAAAAAACCATTCATATATTATGGCACGATAACGAATAAGGGCGTCTGGAACGGTTGGCCGAACATCATACCATATAGACACGGCAAGCGAAACTCGACTTTTCGAAAAACAACTCATCATCTCCTTTTATCTAACGAGAAACTGCCAACTCGAGCCACTCTTTTGTCCAAACGGGACGCACTTTTCTTGGGTTATTTTTGACGGGCTGTCTTGCATAGAATGGTTCCATCATTCTTAGCACGTCTCGTCATACACTTCCCATCGTTCAGTACTTGCATGGGATCATTTACACATTTTCTTTTTCATGGGTTCGGCGCTTTAATAAGATTTGGGGGCGTTTCTGTCGTTCTTTCTCTTTCTCTTCTTTTTGTTCTTCTCCGGGGTGTCGTTTATATGATGGGTGCGCTCATGATGGGTAGAGGAGTAGCAGCAGTTATAGTTAGATGTGATTTGCAGATGTAGTTGAATGCAAACACTTTGAATGAATGAGCTTGTCCCTTGTGATATTGTGAATGATTGAACTTGTCTCTTGCATATTGAGCATAATTGGGTTTTAATGGATAGGTTGGGTCTTGAGTTGTAGTCATTCGTATTGTATTGTACATTATTTGTACACATCTTCTATCCCCGTGGTATTGTTATACAGCTTGATATCTTCCTCTGCGTTCATCCAAAGTAGCGCTCTTTTTCCACCGATGCCCCTGTTCCATCCAGTCGTGAAGTCTTTCGTTGTGCGTCTGCTTCCCAGTCGTGCCATTCCTCAATCCCTGCCTATCGCTTGTCTCTATCTTCTCAGTCCCATTACGGTCCCGTCTACTTCTGCTTTCGAGGTCCGGTCATGTACTTTTGCATACGCGCCAAGTGGTAGTTGATAGTATTCGTAGGCGCAGGAGGAGCCGCGGGACCGTCCATGCATTTGCGGAGTTGGTTCTCTACTGCTGCGCAGCCTGTTGCGTTGTAACCTGCTGAAGCCCAGCATGCTGTTGCACTGTTAGCCCTTGATCTTCCCTTGTATGCATTCCTTCCGTGCGATCTCATTATACGTTCAATCGTGGTCTTCTGCGTGCAATTGTGATCGGGCAGCTAGGTACATGGGGGGGACTTACCGAGAACACTAGACATGATAGCAATGCATGGATTCTCGACCTGGCGCTTGGGGTTGTGCACCCGCAGAGTCTTCAGGGGAGGGAGACGGATGGGTTTATGACGGCCGGCCATTTTCGCGAATCACTGGGGGATTAAATTGATCGACGACGAGCGAGACGAGACTGGGTGAGGGTCGTGATGCTTGATGGAGTGGAAAGTTTGGAGTGGGGTCACGTGCGGTGTGGAGTGATAAGATAATGCACGTATCGATAAGCTTTCAAAGCCGATGCTTGACTTCAAGGCTGAGTGAGTGAGTGAGCTTGGCGCTGAGGACCAACGTGAGCAAAAAGGAGAAGAGATGGGAAAGGATGATTGTTTGTTCAGAGGAACAAGATGCAAAAAGAAACTCCGGTACAGGGAATCGAACCCTGGGCTCCGCGGTACTTGATCTCTCAAGTTATGAGAGCGCGAAATGTTAGCCACTACACCATACCGGACGTCTATTGGTTGAGAGCAAGGTTTGGGGTTTGGTCTCAAGTACTGACAGTGACACTCTGAATCTAAGGCATCAGAGAGATATCCTACAGTCACAGAACCTGGAATTGTCCTGAGCGCAGCATCCGCCCGAGTTGAGATACCTAGCTAGTCGAGAATGAATGATGTGCTGTTAACCCAAGTCCCTTTTCTTTGGAGTGCTTGGTTTCAGCCCTGCCTAACAGACAACTCAACCTTGCGGCCCAAATCCTTCATCCAACAACCAAATTCCACGTCCTTAATCAATCCTCCCGGGCGGATGTCAGAAGGATTGTCCTCCAAGGCTCAGGCCTACAAAATAAAGTAGCCTAAATGCTAATCTGAATCGGCATAAGATGACTGAACTATTTCGTTTCTTACGCTTATAACGGTCAATTCTTCTGACACCCTGCGGCCTCCGCATGACGCATCCCCACTTGCCACAGGGGTATCCCCAGCACAGCCACCACTCGCCACACTTGGCACTTACAGCAATCCAAACGCCAAGCTCGTGACGTCCTTCGCCCAGACTTGGTGAGGAAGATTAACACGGCGTGACCAATGGTGATCGATCCTTCGTGACATCACAGACCACCTTGACTTGTTGCGCAATGTTATGACCTAACCTGCCAAGATGGTGTGAAGGGAAAGAAACAGGCAATGGCCGGGGACTACGCCACTGGGGAAATGTTTATAAGATGGAACGCAGGACGGTTCCTGTTATGGACTTGATCTAGTAATTATCGTATCGATTATCGTATCAATATTCACAATGGAGAAACCTAGTATGTTCCTATCTCACATGCATTTGAAGAGTGTCAGAGACTAACAAGATGTAGCTGCTACACCAAACAACTACAGCCACCCTCAGCAGGGCTACTACGCCGAGCAGGGTCAGCAACATCCTGAGCAGGTTCATTATCCTGAGCAGACCCAGCAACAACAACCGCCCCAATACGAGAACCACAACATGGGCAGCTCCCCTCTTGCTCAACCACCTCTTACACACCAACATGATCAGCAAGATCGTAACTTCAACCCTCATCAGCAACCGCCACAGGGTCAGCAGAAGGGCGGTTTCCCACCAACCCAACAACAAAACTACCAGAGTATGCCGATCCAGAATCTGCAGAGTCAAAGTGCACCGGTAGTTTGTCCCAGTTGTGGTGTTAGAGCCATGACTGTCACAAAGGCTGAGTCTGGCGGAATGACGCAGTAAGTATATTTCATGACCTGATGAGAAGAATCGTGTGCTAATGGATGCAGTGCTATTGCTGCAGGTGTTTGTTTCTTTACCTGTCTGGGATGCATTCCTTACTGCATCTCTTCTCTTAAGGACGTTCATCATCAATGTGGAAATGTAAGTTCATGATTATTGTTTGATCATAAGGGTTTGTACTGACAAGACTAGTGTAACATGCCACTTGCCGATTACCACCGAAGTGGTCGAACAGAAGTACGCTGCTTCCAGAAGTAATGAGACGAAACGTCATGGGATTGTTCTTTTTTAGTTTGCGACATGATACCAATGGGTTTTGCTAGCGCCCTATCGTTACCATTAATTGGACTTATCTTCACTGCGAATAGAAGCAGTATATGTACCAATAAATATTTGTTCTTACTCCACATCTGAAAAGTGATAACATTGTGTGCCTCTATCATTCATATACACCACAGCTCCATACATTGACAGCCGGATCTATCATTACAAACACGCCTCCATCGTCTTAAACAACGTCAAACTTCTCATCGTCCAAATCCATACTCTCCGCTGGAGCAGGTGCTCGAGGGACGCTTCTCAATGCTGCCCAACCTGATTTCACGACAGGTTCTTGAACAGGCTTTGGTGCCGGTACTGGCGCGGGTTTGGCCTTTGGTTCAGCCTTGACCTTTGGTACGGGCTTAGCCTTTGGCTCAGGTTTGACGATCTCTGGCTCGGGCTTGACATCCTCATCATCGTCCTCTGACGCCTCGGCTTCTCCTTCAGCATCCTCTTCACCCTCTTCACCTTCCTCGCCCTCCTCTCCATCATCATCTTCGTCATCCTCATCATCGTCACTGTCATCTTCATCAGACTCTCCTGAGCCATCAGAGTCCGCATCACTACCAGGATCGTAATCCTCCTCATCTTCATCCTCTTCATCCTGCAGAGCTTGCTCAACGTCCAATTGCGCCTTTGCAAGCTCTGAAATATCACCACCAGCCGCTTCACCCTCTCCAGCTTCTTCGCCGTTCTTCTTGGCTGCTGCGCGGTTCTCAGCCAGCTCGAGCTTGGCCTTTCGCTGCTCGGCCATACTTCGATCCTGTAGGCGCTTGTTCTTGATGTATTCGTCAATGCCACCATAGTCCTCTTGGTCAATCATGGAGAACTCAACCTCCTCTGTCGCATCGCCCTCGCCTGCAAACACTTCCACGGAAAGGTTGAACGTTCGTTGGAGAATGTTGGTAAAGCTTGTCGCCGCAATACGGTTCAAAGGAATAAACATAAGTGGCTTCTTGAAGCCCCAGAGAATGCCAGTCTCAAGGAAGAATAGGTATCCGTCCTTGGAGCCCCTGAATGCCTTCACATGGACAGCCTTTTCGCCCGGTCGGTGAGGCTGTCGCACCATGCTATGGAACTTGCCGGGGTTGGCCGAAGTGATATCAATACCAATGGGCTTGAGATGGCGGTTCAAGGCCCAGTGGAACAGAGACTTGTAGTTGTCCGATACTGCTGCCGCACTTCCAGCATCAGGCCCACCTATCGTACCCTGCTTGGGCGCTGTCGCGGGTACTGTAAAAACGAGCGGCTCTTCGGTCGGGGGGTTTGTCTTGGAGGGGAGACATGTTCCTCGTGGGAAAAGGACGTAGTTGTGCTGGACCTGGTTCTTCTCGGGAACGGGGAGGTAAAAGACATGTTCTGGCGCAAAGTTAGCACAGACCGTATAATGACATCAATAACGCGTACCAATATCTGACCACGCGTATGTTATGGCTGGAATAGGAGCTGTGGTGTTTGGCGCACGAGCGTAAATATGGCCATCTGTAAAACACAACTCAAACTTCTTCCTCTGAGGCACGGAAACGGAGATTTCCTTTATTTCCAACAGAACAGTCTCGTCTGCGGCGTTGGTCTGGGTCTTGACGGGAGCTTTCGTGCCGTTGGCAGCTCCATTGGCCTGTTGGACGTCGACTCTTCTCTTCTTGTGTGCAGGTTCCGTGCTTCCACTTAATAATTGATCGTAGACATGTGTCGCAATTTCGTTAAACAAAGCGATTCGAGTGGGAGAGTCTTGATTCTCGTCAGTACATCGTGAATAATGCATTCAGGGACATCGTTTATTTACCTGCTGCTTTCTGAATACCTTGTAGAATGTCTGGCCGGGTACCAAATACAGAGCCCAACTTGTCTGTATCAAGAATTTTGCCCATGTTTGAATCCAATCGTCTAGCTGTGATTTGGTCACGACTTTTTGGTGGGAAAAGATTGGGTGTGAAAAATATGTATGGGTGAAGAATTGTTTACTGTTGGTCGTGGCAATGAGGGTGCAAAGGTCATCATATTTCCCTGGACTAAGAGTTGCGATAAGATAGCGATTCATGATGGAGGGCGCTTATTAGTCAGGGTCATGGCGCTAGAGCTGCCAGTTTTAGTGGTTTACAGGCGCTGCTGTTGATTTACAGGGGAACCTCGCCCTATCAGCATCTGACGTCAGGCGGTCGGCGCTTCCTTCCCCGCGAGCTGCCCGATTCATCTTTCCAAGTGATACGAGCCTGGAGCTGTCAGGCACAAAGCGTCTCTTTTCGTACAAGCACAAGATCTTCAGTACTGACATCCATATTCATCATGTCAACCACGTTCCCAAATCTTTACACGCACCGCAAGGTTGCTGATTCAGCTGCCAAAGCATGCGACATTTGCTACAAGTCAAGCACATCCGTGTTAATCACACCAGACAAAAAGGTATCTGAAAGAACAAGCAGAGAAGTGTAAGCTCATGCACTCACATGGTAGGATTTCTTCTTTGTCTGCCCCGTTCACTTGAAAGACAAGTATTTCGCGACACCAAAGATCGATGAAGAGGCTGCCAAGCAGAAGCGCGAGAAGGAGTTGGCAGAGGAAAAGGAGCGCGTCATGAAGGAGTACGAAGAGAAGCAAAAGAAGAAGAAGGAGAAGGAGGCCAAGAAGGATAAAGACGACAAAGAGAAGGACGATAAGGATAAAGATAAGGACAAGGACAAGGATAAAGATGAGAAGAAGGATGAGGATAAGGTGAGTGAGATGAGTCAAAGAATTAGGCTCGGCTGACTGAGTGGTACAGAAAGAAGAGAATAGTCCTGCGCCTGAAGAAGAGCCTCGTGTGTTTGAGTTGAAGACGTAAGTTACTCTTATCTCCCAAATAAGAAGTCACTGACGTGGTGCAGCGCCTTTTACCAACAGAGGTTGTTGAAGAAGAGACAAGCCGAAGCTGCGAAACAGGATCGGGAACGAGCATCAAAGCCCGGTTACTTCCCATCTGTTCCATCGGATGATCCCAAGCGATGATAGGTAGAACGCATTAGATTAGGGAGACAGCAGGTGAGCATGTGAGGTCTCTCACTAACTACGCTAGATAGCCTTACAAACAATTTACCAAAAAAGAGCCTTTATTGGATTGTTCCCACGATGAGCTTGAGACCACCGTTTGAGCGCGCCCAAAATGCCGCGCATTGATGTTCACTTCTAGGGAAACGGAGCACGTGCATTGGACTGCATCGCAAAGGGACGTCATTCTTATGTCTTCCTTTTCTCATCCGACTCTGTTTGAACTCATGTCCGTTGATTCTACGCCTGGACGAATGACCCGGCCCATCAATTCCATGGCAAAGTTGTCAAGAACGGCCAGCAATGAAACGCCCTCGAGGTCTTGACTGAAGGCCAAACCGCCCACCCCTGCTTCGCAAATATGTTGCGATTCTTTGTATTACACTACACGACAAACATGTAGCTCATTTTGGATTCATTCTTGGCAACGACTGTGGCTCGCAAGCAGGCCGTTGAGGACTAGGGAAAGGCTGCCCATCATGACTATAACCTTCCATCATAGCCTCAGGTAAGTTGCCACTCGGGTCCAGCCGCGACATGCTCGTATATCGGGCGTCTGATTGATGCAGAGCCTTGCGGTTCATCAAGTCGCGACTCGCCTGTTGCGACACAGACAAGGATACCATCATACCGGCATATCGAGCTTCACTTGCATCACACGACAACAAGCTCTGGGCCCTCTGATTTGACTCCAAAGATGCATATCTATGCACAGCAAAGCTCGAATCAAACGCTCAAGTCCAGTCCTCACCCAATCAATGGAATACTCCTGGCCCAGTCGCAGGCTCCTCCAGTCTTTGCGATGTAGGCGACAAGACATACTTGGTTCACGCCGAGAAAAGCGGAAAGCTTGCTCAGCGGGAATATCTCGGCCAAACAGATCAACTGGTTCCAGTTTCGGGACGTCAGGTGTATGAGCCAGGGCAATGTCAGTCTTTCTGCAGATGAAGATAAGCTCTTTTGTGTTTACCAGAAGCTGGACGTACTCTAGTATACTTGGTTCACTGACAGTGCGGGTCGTCTAGGAATAACGCTGGGCAATGGAATGACTGTCGATGACGGAGAGATGTGTCTTGAATTTCGATACAACGACGATCGCGATATCTACCTCAGACCAAGTTTGAGGTGTTCGGGAAATTTTGGAGTTCTACATTGGCCGGTTTTGTGTGGGCATGCAAGTCTACAGGCGACAGCATGACATCTGAGTCCTCCATGGGATTGCGACACCTAAACATAACCGCAATGGTACTCACCTTCCGCGATTCCCGGTTGTTGTTTGTAGATGATGGAGCAAGAGGAGCTTTGCGCCTGTACTGTACGAGCTTCTGAGAACCCAGCGGTCGGCTTCACTCCGAACTTGCGCCCCTTTGACAACATATACGTCTACGTCCGTGCAACAGCCATACCCCCAATCCAATATGGATGCCTGTACTTCACAACTCTGGCGGATTCTCAATTGGTTCTTTGCTCGATTATGGGTTATTCGGGTTATATGGAAGAGGAGTGTTTTCCGGGTATAGTGGACAGCCTGCATCGATCATTGGGGGATTGGCTTGGGCAGTGTTGGGGGTTTATTGACAACGACATTGGGGGAAAAGTGCTTTCGTGAATTGCTGGACTGAACGCGAGCCCAGGATATTAGTATGGTCTTTAGATGGACTTTTCTAATCTTCACCCCCATTAAGCTACCAATTGATTATGAGTCTTATAGATGACGATGATGGTGTTTGGTGGAGTGCCTACACATACAACAGTCATGATCTGAGGCCACCACCATGCAGTAAGATCAATTGACTTTCACCGTTTATGTTACATGCTACCACCACCCATCCAACTCTTCGGAGCGTAAGACGGAACAACCGGTTACTTTCTCTTTTCGGAGTTAGTGAGCTGACTGCATGAAGTCTGACCAACACCTCGGATCAGACAAGCTTAGTCCTGACTACGAAAGCTTGTTTTGACAGTGGTAGGGCTGAGGGGATGTTGTCTGTCACAACAGGAGTCAAACGATGTGCCAGTGTACGATGTTATAGTTTGACTCAATATATACAAGAAAGTAATCAGCTACGTCCATCATCCTTCCAGTCCCCGGATGTTCCTGATCAATCACCAAGGGCCGCCGGGGCAGCTTGAAGCTCAACAGTCGACCATTGGCTCCCAGAAAGAGAATTATCTACAGAGACCAGGAAAAGACGGAAGCTGTTGCCCGTGTCCAGAACATAGAACTTCGAAAACACACCAGGCGTAGTCCAACATCCTTCCTCCATGTTCTCTACGTTGAAACCACACAATCCAGCCGGAGCAGAGCACTGTAGACTCTCATCGCAAGTAAGAAAGCCCGCGCTATCCCTTTGGTCTTCACTGCAAAGAGACAATGATGCCGGGTGGGCAGGGTTCATCTGGTACGAAACGCACCAGTAGAGGCCGCCTACGCGTACGTGAGACGATTCGGGGTCGAGAGTGAGTGAAAGAGGTGGGTTGTTTTGAAGGTTGAAGGCTATTACTGAGCCTGGGGAAGGGAAGCCCAATAGCGGACCTACTCCTTGAGCAGTGACTTGGAAGGTTTGGATAGGAGGTGCGGCGGCTGTGGTTGTTGTTTCGGCCAGCGTTGTGGTGCTTTCATCAAAGGCAGTCGTTGTTGTCTCGGCGATGATTGTGGTGGCTTCAGAGACAGTCGTGATGCTGTCTTCGGTGTAGGTGGACGAAAGCTCAGAGCTCATCGTCTCAGCGGTAGTTTCGTCCTCGGAGGTAAGTGTTACAGCACTGGTAGACAAATCGACAGAAGCAGTGGTCTCGATGGTCACATACGAGGATACAGCGCTCGTAGTGGCAGTCTCAAGCTCGGTACCGGTAGCGGAACTGATCTCAGAAACAGTCGAGCTAGCCTCTCCAGAAACACCACCTGTACGCGGTCAGATTCCATACCTCCTAAACATTAAAGACGTCACTTACTGCTGTCTGTCGAGTGACGAGGTTTGCATACACTCGCAACGACAATATCAGCCCCAAGGGCGATAGAACAGAAAAGAGCGAAACGCATGTTAGCAACGACAAATAACGAGTGACAGTTACTAGAACGAATGAACGAAAACAGCTATGTACAAAGCAATAATTATTTCCGTATATCGTGAGTATTTATGTTCTCTACAGAATAGGGGATTAGACTATTGAATCTGGGTCTTGGCAGACGTTCTAGACGAGCTGAAGAGTGAAACTATTGAAGAATCAGACTCCACTAGATAGTAACTATTGACGGATATTGTGTAGATGGTCCGATATCTAAACACAATTTCTTATTTCCGGGCCAGTTTTCCCTTTTCATATAGAATAATAGCCTATTCACTTCGCCAGAGGCGGTTGGTTGTCGAGATATTGCAAGTCTGTCTGCTCAATAAGAAGAGCCAATCCCATGCGAGTGAGAAATGACAACGAAATATACCTGCTGTGACATGGCTTCAATTAACTTCGAACTTCTTGCTACCGGGTATCATTGAGATTTAGCATGTTGCAAGTGATACTAGGGTCGTGCCGTGATCATCCCATCTGCCAAGACAAGCACTGCCGACAACATACTCAATTGATAACGCAAGCAGGACTTTTCTTACTCTCTAAGAGGTCCGGCTAAGCGATTATCACGATGATCATCGTCAGATCCCGAAAGTTTCCCAACATTTCAGTCAGATGTAACCAAGTAATGGAACTCACCGAGACTAACAACTTCAGCTGTCAAGCCTTATCGTCAACACTAATTCATCACCAGCTTATCTCCATACTGTATGTAGTACAGCGTTAATTGCAAACGTCAAATAGAATAAACTTTGACCACTTCTATAAAAAGACCAGTCTCGATCGATCTTTGAGCCTCCAAGTTTCAGCCGGCGCCACAGTGAATGATGGATGCTGCGAACGATGGAATGGCTGTTGAAGTTACAGTCAACGTGGAGATAGCCGTGCCGCGCCACAGTCAAGATATCACATCGTGAGTAATTAATTACGTGTCGCCAAGAAGCATACACATATCATACTCGTAGTGAAAAAACGCATTTGTTGAGGCGAAGTGCATTTGACTTGTCATTCATGACAATCATCAACTTCACTCACCTCGAATGGTTATGGATGTTAACCCTCACTTGGCAATGCATGTCACTCCCTTACATCCATCAACTGACAAAAAAGCCACACCGACCAAAGATCAAGATGGCGTTAACCTCATCCACTCGATCCTCATCAAGTGGATCCAAGGGTCTTTCGGATATTTCCCTTCCCTTCAGCCTTATTTAGTTGGCTTGTGACTGTGACTCGATTACTATCTTTGCATGATCATTCATCACGGCTGTAGCGGATGTCTTGTTCTTATCAGTGAAATGACTGACGCCGCAATGAACATTACTGTTAGCGTCATTGTTTTCTCATCCATTTCCAGATTCACAGCCATATCTCTGAAAGCTTATCATCATCTAGTCTCATGACACAGCCAGCAATGAACCGTCTTGGCTGAGGCTTGCGACCACGGCTAGTTCTGGGCCGCAGATCATCAGTGACACGCGCCCTCTTTGCCCTGTTTATCTCCCAGAGTGACGACCACTGATTAGTTCCGATACGCACTCTAACCTCAACTGGTTTCTCCGATACTGGGTTGTCGGTAGTACGTACAACTGCCGAGCATGCAAAGTCGATCACTGATGTCGTCGTCAGATTGTCTTTCTCCATGACAACAGTACTGATCTACCCTAACATCAGAGATATGCACATTCTCTGCTACAGTACCCATGTGACTCACCCACCCTCCAAGACGTCAACTTTTTCATGATCTAATAAAGTCAACAAGTCTTGGACCCTACAAAGTGACGCCCTCCCGCTGACTCCCAACACCCATTTATTCCCCCCCTTTGTCGGTAATCACCGTTTGGGCATTGTCTATTTAATAAGCGCTTCCCGCCGCATAATTATTTTGTTTACTTGAAAGGGATTCATTCGTACCTGATTATTACGCTTTGATCAATTAATAGCAGGGTTTAGCCTGTCATATTGGGCCCCCACTACCCAGCGACAACTCATCAGCCCAAACCGCCCTGAACAAGAAAAGAGCCTAAAGCAAGAAAAGGGAAAGACTCGAAGAAAAAAGAAAAAAGAAACGACCAAAAGAGATTGGGATATTCTGAGACAAGGTGTTGAACGAATTGATATAAACCTCCTCTCAATCCGACTCAACATAATTCTCTATCAACTCATCCCATCAATTACCCTCATCAACTCGACTCAATCCATCATACTCAACCACTTACATACACAATGTATCGTGAACATCACCCCGGTTCCCTCGCCCTCCCCACTACAACATGGAGTCCCAGCGAAGAACCAACCAACAAATCCGAGCATGAAGGCAACCAAAGAAGCCGCCAAGCAAGCACATGCTCCGAACGCAGCTGCGAAAGCATGACCCTCGACGAAACAAGAGAATTATGGAGATGTATGCTTGAGCTACAATCTCGATATGGATGCTATAATTCTACGAGGATAGATATGGCTGTTGATGCTGGTGAAGATGGTATCGACCTGATGCGTATGTCCCCTCTATCAATTACTTTAAGGGAATGGGTTACTAACAGTGCAGCAGCAAACCGCTTTATCATCGATACTCTAAACGAGTCCGTTATTGATCTCCCCGATGAAGGTCGCGAATTACTTAACCGCTACTTATGCCCTTCATCGCCGTCCAAGCAAAAGTGGAAGTTCTGGAAGAAGGAATAATATCCTCTCACATATTTTAATTGTTATTTCAAGGCGTCAGAGGGAGATAGAAAAGGCGAAGCATGATCGATACCCACATCAGAATGGCACTGATTTACTACATTTATTATTGTAATTACTAAAACTAAATAAACATACTACAACTGCATCTCTCATCACTCATCTCATCATTCATCAAGTACAAATGTAAACTAAATTCTACTGTCAAAATCCTTCTCCCCAATAAACCCAGCCTGAATCTTCATACTCTCCCAAACCCTCTTCTTCGCATCCCCCCTAACATCCATCCCCATAAACCCTCCAAACGTCCTCTCAAACTCCCACTCCTTCAACACCTTCCACATCCTCACCATCTCCTCCACACCAAGCGGTATAAAATTAGGAATACTCCAAAGGAACGAATAAGAATTGAGGCCCTCTGGTCGAGACCTTTCAGCACCGCTTGCATCAACACTCCAGTCTCCTACACCCGAGGCTGTGGTCATGAGTGTATCGGCGATGAAGAGAGTGTTGTTATAGTGTAGAACCATGGAACCGGGAAAGTGGCCGCCCAGTTTGATGGCTGTTGCACCAGTATCCAAAATCGGTGTTGCAGTAGACGTCACAGGAACTTGCTCCGACGAAGAAAACGTCGTCCAGACCATATCCTCAGAAGCAAGATAAACAGGACATCCAAAAGCCCGTCCCCATTGAACATGCGCACTATAAAAATGCGGATGACTGATAACAATAGCCCTCAACCCACCCATCTCCTTAATCTTGTCCACAGTCTCATCATCCAGCAGGGTAATACAATCCCAAAGTACATTTCCGGTGGGAGTCTTGATAAGAATAGCACGCTGTCCAATCCCAAGTTTTGGGGTAGACGTAATAAACGTGATATCCGGATCAGTAGCACAGGAGGTAAACTCGTTACGATGCTTCTTTTTGAGAGAAGCTAGCGTGGAGAAGGATTGGCCTGTGGGAGGCACGAATTGACGTGGGTCGTCGCAGATGAAACATGTTTTTAGGGATGTGGTTGGGAAGTGTGTGCCGCATGTGTCGCAGACGAGGTGCGAGTCTGTGGTTGTGAGATCGTATGGTTCTGACATGATGAGAGAGGACTAGTTTGCGATGACAGATCGAGTAGTGTCTGCTGGATGAGTGGCTAATGTGTGGTGCATAAACAGGGCATTCGAGTCTGGATTCTTGTTTCTTTTATCGTGAAACAATCTTAGCTACAGACACTGTGCCGAGGCTTGAATGTGTAGCTGAAAGATGGTGCTCTGTAAGCATCTTGATTCAACTCCACTGGTTGGTTAATTGACGTCATCCCCGCATTTCACGATAGCTTCCGATTTCGCATTAACCCCAGATTACCAAGCAAACATCAAAACGTGTCAATTCTCCAAAATGATTCCACATCATCGTATCTCGTATTCATCGTGCTATTACATGCACTTTTACCCAAAACTCCAAATGCTAAACAAACATCATGACCCATTCCAAACTCGCCATAGTACCATGCATCCTTTACCATGCCTCCCACATCTGGCTCCCCATAGAAATCAACCGATTAAACAATTGATCCCTCATACTGACAGCCGTAAGATGGTGTTCATTACCATCCTTAGTCTTGATAATCAACCCATCAACAATCTCACTTCCCATAGCCCAACCAACAATGATCTTGCTCTTCCACCCCAAACCGCCCATCTTCTTCAACTCATCAATCTCACCAATTGTAACCGTCCAAGTAGGTTTCAAGTCCTCAGCCTCAATCGTCCAGCTAACAGCGGGCGTGGTAGCTGTAGCTGTGATGTAAGCATGGCCCTTCTTACCCTTGTATCGGCAAGGGAAACGGATAGGACCAGTAATAGGGTTAGGCTGTTCGCCCTTTACAACGCCGAGACGGTTCTTTGCGTGGTGTGCGCCTGCCTTGGCTTTGGCTTTGTCGGCGGCTAGAGCTGTTGCTACGCCGCCCTTTGCCGTACCCTTGATGAAGTTCATAATACGATGGGACTTCTTGTGCTTTGTCTTTTCTTCCTCCTGTTCTTGTTCTTCCTCGTGGATTACGTTAGGATCGGGCTGGACAGCCGCGGTGATTTCGGCCTGCGATACTCCTTCTGGTGGTGTTAGTAGGCTCACTTCTATTTCCAATCAGTAGTACACACCTAGATGTTCGAGACCTTCTCCGGCAGTCTCATGAGGTTCAGTTGCAGGAGGAATATCCGAGGTAGGAGGCGGTGGCAGAGGAGCCTTGTTCCTCTCTCCAATACGGAGAAGAGTGATGGCCAACTGCGCATTTGTCGGGACACCTCGAAGAATAGTATTTCGCAGTTCAACATACTTCTCCCAGCGAGGATACGTCCTGTTGATAAAGTTCAAAGCAGGTGTAATGATAGGATCACCAAAGAATCCAAAGCCAGCGCCGAAACCCATTCCCTTCATAGCCATGTAGGGAGACGTGAAGTACGATCCGAGAAGCATTGGTACAAGAACACCGATGAGAATAAACTTGGGTCGATGACGATGGAAAGGCGCAGCGGGACTAAGAGCATTTCCGAAGCGTTCCCATGTATCGACAAAGTCGGCGATCATGTGCATCGTGGGACGAGCCTTATCCCAGACAGCGTTCGACACTGGCTTCTTGGCCCTGTTGTGCTTGGCATGGGGATTGTTTCCCAGAGACTTTTGTTTAGCCTCCGTAGCTTCTTCGGTAAGCTTAGTAGGGTCAGGCGCAATGCTGTCGTCGTCGGGGTCCGTCTGGGGATGCTTTCCAGCAGCAGTACTAACAACAATCTACTCCCTTATCAGTCTTTTTCTGTCAAACGAAAGCAAAGGCGATAAAATCATAACTCACACCGGAACATACCGTTGAAAGGCTCGTCACAAAGCTATGAGCCTCCTGTTCAGCTGCTTCACCCTTATGTTTCTCCGGCGCACCAGTAACAGAGTCATCAGAAGCAAGTACACCAGCAGCCGGTGTCTTGACTCCTCCAGTCTTGGAGTCAATCAGGGAAGGAGGTGCGCCAGGGAAGCAAATATCGCGAGCCTCAGGGTACCAAATCAGGATCATGATGAAGATGATGATCGTGGGTCCCAGAATATCGAGCAGCCATGCCAGAGTATACACTCCCAAGAAAGCAGAAGTCCGTCTCGTCTCCTTCCACGATCGAAGTCTCACAATATGCTTCCAGAACGAAAACAGCTGCGTGAAAACAGACACATAAAGTCTCTCAATCTGCGCCCTAAGCTTCTCAGGAGAAAACTCTTCGTCATCTGCGATATTCATATCCAGCATTCCCAGCGGGGGCTCGTCGATGCTCTTGACGTAAAACACCTGCTTGTCGAAGCGACGAATCAAAGCCCAGACATCTTCATTCTTGAGACCGCCGACAAGATGCGGTACGGCTTGCGGCTCCTCGTTCCATCCCAGGTTCTTGACTTCGACATCGCCGTGTTCGAGTTGGGCAGCGCCTTTCTCTGTAAAGTCCAGGTCTTTGCTTTCTTCGGCCAGGGCGTGGCTTACGGTTGGAGCTTCTTCTGTGTGTTCTGAGACGATTTCGGGTTCGCTGCCTACAGCTGTCGTGCCTGTCGAGAACCGACGGTTGGGGTCGTCAGATGTTGTAGCCATGGTGATGATTACCACTCTCTCGTGGTGTTTGAAGCGATAGTTGAACGATGCAAAGCTAGGAAGCTACCTTAGCTATTCATATCTTTCGACAAGCTGGAATTGGAATGGGAATACCCCGCCGCCTACGTCAAACTGGCAGGGGAGGAGTATCATGACATCTAATCTTGAATCATGACGTCACAAAATCTCAGCTGAAGACGATCATGGCAAGCAACAACCAAACAGAACCACACACTATTACCACCAAGACACTGAAAGCGATACGGCAAGACAATTGATAAACGAAAAGACACGCGTAAATAACCCACATCCTTGGCATTCAGCTGTCAGTTCACGTCACCATTCCACCCATGGCACCCACTAATCTGGCATTGTGCATCGCTTGTGAACCTTGTTTTTTGACAACGGAGTTACCACCACCTATCAGTAAGAGTGCCATGGTAATGTTCATCTGCTTGGATGTCTTGGCCTGGTTAATGAGGCTCTTACCAAGGATTGCGTAGATCCCGGTGCAACCTCCGGAGTGGGGCCGCATTCGATTGCCGAGTATCGTCACGATCCGGACCACATCATCCGGGGTATGTCAGCTGATTGAGTTAATGGTTGCGTCTGTGAGTTTCGTGATGTTACCTTAGGAAAGCCTTATCGTCAGGTTTGTTTCATCAAAGGGCAGGCTATCTGAGGGTGGTTCTCTTTGAGGGTGGTTCTCTTTGAGGGTGGTCAGCTTGGGCGATAGGAGGCGCCGTCAGCTGGGATATCGTTATAGGGGCGACATTCGCACTTCTCTTCTCCGTCGTAAATAGGAAGCTTCATTTGCGATAATTGTTAGCTATTTGTCGATTGCTTAGAGTGTCGTCATCTGCCATGCGAGACGAGTGTCACTGTACGAGAGCCCCGACAGACAATCTGAACCACAACATGAACAGAAGGAAGGAGAAGGAAGGAACAGGCCAGGCAGCACCTCCCTTTCACAAGTTGCATCAGTGATAATTAACCAGCGACTCGTCAAATCGCCGAATCCTCCCTAAAAAGAGACCGCCGCGAGGTTGCAGGTCGACGAGACACCACGAAGACCAAGATTGTCATTATGATTCAACAGTGCTGGCAGCGATATGGCCGATGATTCTACCGAGACGAACCTTGGAATTACCTATAGCCCTCGGATTCTTCAGCTTCTCAGATTTGATGGAACTTCTCAAACAATTTTCTGGTAACACCGCCGATGAGAACAGCCAGCCCAGGAGGGGCGCTCCACGCGTGGGGAGCGGTCGCTACACAACGAGCCTCGACGAATGCATCTCCGATAGACCTCTGATCCTCATCTTGTTCATTATTCCATAATGTTCGCGACTACGTCTCGTCGCCAGCTCCCTTCATAGGACCACTAACGCATTGTCATCGCTCGACTCCGAGTCAAGCTCGCTCACGAAGCCCATGAACTCGTCGCATGCTACCTGCGACACGAGCAGTCCTTTACTACGATTACTGCATTATACGCATTGGAACTTCTCATTCCATTAAAACAGCCATGTTTCGCAGTCAATACATGCTGATTTGTTCTTGGTCCAATATTGCTGGATGAGGAGGTTCAGCATGCATCACATGTGAACCAACAGTGTTCTAACAAACCACTAGTTCTCAATACTCAGCCCGCAAGATCAAACATATAGCATTTCAATATCATTTCGATATCATTTCGTCATGATGAATACCGGCAAAAGAGAACGTTCGGCCTGCAAACGAGGAGTGTTGTTCAAGATGTTGATACCAAGTGGCAGGCTGATTACCCTATACTAGTGACGACGAGAGTTGTGAACGACTACCAACTCAACAAAAACGACATTAACACCAATATTCGGACGTTATTGTTTCAAACTTCAATCGATTACCAGCCACAGTAGGGAAGTGTATGTCTGATGGGTTGGCTTCGTCTTTAGAATTGGTCATTCAACCCAATGGCATCTTCGCAGAAGAGCGTCTACCAAGTTGTCGATATCAACCATCAGGCATGGAGACATCAGCACAGGCAAACCATGCAGACTCGATGTACAGCCAGTCAAGATTGATTGGACAATGTTCGTCGCCGTCCACAAAGAACTTGAGCTGTTCACACTCGACCTCGGAGCTCGTCGGCCTCAGTATTCTCCTCAACATCCCGTCCCTGATCAGAACACCACGCCGAATAATTACAGCACACCATACATACAACCACATAATCTGTACTTCACATGCTGCAATTCAATTGAACTGACAAGTATCTCGCCACAAAAAGGCCTCATCTTACATGGCGGAATCCCATCATCATTCCGCAATCACCTCATTGTCATTCCGCGGCTGGCAACTCCCGGCAGTCGCCCACGTAGGAAAATATCCCTGTGTGATATCTCATTCCGCAAACACATGCCAGTTACAGTACATACAGCGCGAGGCCATGTAATAAGAGTATGCAGGAACGTTCATACCCCGGACACCGGTGAGGCCTTATCTGAACAACCGGGCTATCAAATCTGACAGAACACGCCATGGTACGTAACTCGGCATCACAAGATAGCCTCGCCCCAGCAAGGCAAGGCATCGTGGCTGCTTCAGAGTAATTGATCAATTCCCCCGCGAATACCGGTCTGCGGTTTTGACAGCCTTGGACCATGCTGGGCGAATGAGCATCCGCCACAACGCGCTGGCCACTAATTGAGCCAGGGCCTCTGTTCACATGAACTTGAAAGACTCCAACATGAACAAGTTTTTCTCTTTCAAAGTAAAAAAGCAAGATTGCAGCAGCGGTGAGATTCACTTGCAGGTGGCTCAACGCTGGAATAGCTGCAATGACGCTTCACTGACAGCCCAACCAACATCTTGAGAAAGTACTCTGCAGTAGAGCGACTCAGCCGCGGCTACAGGTACTCAATGTAGCGGCCGGTACTCTGAGGCTGACTTGCAGTTGCAGATCCCAATGCCATGTCATCCATGCTGGCTGCTGGACACGGAATACCGACCACGTGCACTTGCCGAGGTGAATCGTTTCATCAAAGGAGTTCAGACGGTTGACAGCCCAGGTCACATTGAGGCTGCAGTAGTTGGTGCAAGGAGCAAGCGCTTGCTGCACCCGTACTTTACTCCTCGCAGGAAGAAATTGCAACGCTTCAGAGTACTACTCCGATAAGATTCGGCAGAGTTACAATCACTCGATTGTATGTATCCGGTCAGACGATGGATGCAACAACAGCAGCGCTATGAACAATTCCAATTCCTACTCTCATGCATTGCATTGCCGAGCATCCCGAGGGCCCTTCTGGACTCTTTCCACGGACGTTTCGCCTAATAAACGATATGAGTATCTGCATCGCTTGTCATAGGCAAAGCCGACCATGTCCCGGGCAGTATCAGCCGCAGAACCGAACGGTGATGAGGCGCGCACGCGAAAGAGAGACCCTTGTCGCGATCGTCAGGAACGCGACACAGACACACTCCTCCGGACCCCATGTCCGGTGGCCGCGCTATAGCTGGTCTCACCAGTTTAGGTATAGCCAGGGCAGACACTCGACATTGTTCGAAGAAGAAAGTTCAGGATTCAAGCCACAGTTGAAAGAGTTTTCACTGCTGAGACATGATCAATTTGTGACAGACATTGTCTCCCTTGCCTTTGCCACGATTGAACCAATGCAGAGTGACACTGGTCTGACTGGCAAAAAGAAAGCAGAGCAGAGTGGCTTTGAGAAGTTTTCTGACTTGCATCTGCTTTACTCTACCCTGTACTGTACCGTCGATGCTCACTGACAAGGAATCCCTTGCCCACTTCTTACATATCGACTGATCATCTCCCCTCCACGATGCATCGCAGCACATCATGATCCGGAGACATTCGGAGCCGCTGCAGACAAAGACAAGAACGCGGCGTGGGGCCGTTGTGTAAGAAAGTCTTGTCTCGATGGATACAGTAACTGGCTGCGTAACTAACGACATCCAACTGCCTGAAAACTCTGATTTCGTCAGCGAGGTGGAGATACATGTGGATGTAGACGTTGCTGCGCGTTCCTGACGTTCCCTCGATCCAATCGCATTAGACTTGATGCAAAGGTCTTCCCATTCACAGTATTTCCACCGAGCCGGCCATGTATGTTGAGGGCCTTGGTATTGGACTTCAAACGCATCTATCTTCTAGTAGAGTAACATCAACGTCTGACCGGCTGCAAACTTACAGTAGACATACGAAGCTTAACTTACAGAAGTAAGATAGCAGTTAAGCCTTTCGGGGAACGAATACCCTGGTATTCCGTAAACCGTCGTGACGTGCATCTGACGGTTACAGTACCTTGCATAGCGCGCAATAGATAGTGTTGTCCTTCGACGTCGCCAACAATTGAGGCTCACTGTTCATATCCAGCAATTCGGGCTCGGTACTGTAGCCGTTTGTGAATTGAACTTTTGATGGGTGACATCGGTTAAGAAACTTGAGCGCATTAGAGTAGCGATGTAACCACACAAGAACTGAGGCCCCAATTGAACTTGCCACCAGGAACAGAAATCGTCGAAAGTTAATCAGGTCAGATCAGATCGCGCAATTGGGGTGACTGGTTACATTGAATATGTTGTTAAGAACCTTCTGTAGTATGGGTAAATGCAGGCTTCTCAAAGAGTAAATACTGCCTTCTCAAAGATGGACCCAAGTTTCTCAAAGAAGCACCACGGAATTATGCTATTTATGAAAAATAAATTCTAGACTGGAATGCAAGCCCCAAGCCGCAGCCGTGAAACATAAAACGGCCCGTTGTATCAATTGTTGATTTTTCGATCGATGGCTGAACTTTGTTGCCAACCAATTACACCAAAACGCCGTTAGTTCAAAAGGATGAATTGGGCTTTTGAGTCTGTGTCTGTGCTTTTCATCTCGATTTCTCATATCTACGTAAAGAGCATGCAGATATAGCGTTGAGATGCATTAGACGTACGGCACAGCAAAGTGTCTGAATCTCAATTCCGCTGATGTACAATACTCAATGGAC